AGGCACAGCCATGGACAGCTGGAAAAACATCTTCTGCTGTTGCCTAAACACCACCTGCACCAAAGCAAAGGATTGTCACACTCACGCTCTTCAAAGGGAAAACAACAGCACTCATCACGAGTGTTTTGACTTGGGCTGGAGCCCCAAGCCACAACCAACATCAGATCTTCGGTTACAGATCCGTGCGGCGCCTTGTGACACATGGCCTCCTAGTGCTGTGTGCTCTTGGACAAATTCACCCCATCAGATACACATGTGTACCCACTGATGAGTGTTACCTGCTTATGCAAAGTTATCTTGTCACAGAAAAGAACAAAACAAAGAGCCCTCTTACAGACACTCACAGTTTCCCACATGCAGGAACCAGCAAATGGGTTTTTTTTTGCTCATGACCTGAAGATGTTATGGTGCTCCTGTTACTGAGCAGTTTGTGGGGATGTTGATGTGAGCTCCAGGCTGAAACCTGGAGGGCTCCCAGATCAGTGTTTTTTGTTTTTCACTCTGTTGGAAGGGAGCTGGATATGCTCATTGCTGGTAACAAAAGGCATTGTTTGATTTGTGATGCCTCCTGCCCCCCGTTCCAATTTCCTCATGCTTTGCCCACAGAACACACAGGACGTGTGCCTCCATGTGGTTTCCCTGCTGGGGAAAAGGCAGAAGAAGTGGAGGGCAAAGGCAGAGGGCAGAGAGCAGCAGGCAGAGCTGGCCCTGAACCAACAGCTATCAATGGAACAGCTCTTCTGTCCTGAAATACCGTGACCTCAGATGGACTGAAAGTCATGCTTCATCGCATGCTAGGATTACCTTTAGAATGCTTTGTGTCCACAGAAGGTGGAGAGGGCACTGAGAATCACAGAACCATAATGGCTGCAAAAGACCTCTGAGGTCCCCAGATTTTATCCTCGAAGTGCTGGTTGTCTGCACTGGGATGGGTTGGCTGAGCTGGCAGCAGCTGGCAGGCATGGGGGTCCCTGCAGGATCAGAAAAGCTGGAAGCTCTGAGAGTGAGTCAAAGATCCAGCTTGTTCCGCTTCTACTCGCAGTGCTGTGTGCAATACCTACGCACTCACCCCCTGTTTTATTCTGTTCCTTTTAACCGTGCTGGAGAACTTCTTTTTCAAGGATTCAGGGGGAATCGTGGGGTAAACTTTCCCTGGAAATGCTCCCAGGGCTGCGCTCAGCTCTGTAAACAAGGCCTGGGCAGGCAGCTCACGTTTCTGGGAAATGCCATTTTCCCAATGCCAAAAGTGGGGCCACTGGAGCACAGGGCACTGCTTGGAGCCTGGGGATGCAGCCCAGTGTCCGCAGCTGTGATTTCTGCCTTTGAGTACAGCCCTGGGGGGGGGGAATGGGGTCTTGTAGGGATGTGTTGGAAGAGCTCTGCTGTTCTGCCAACCTTGGGAGCTGAGCCCAGCCCAGGGGTCTTATCTGTCCCCATCATGGTTTTAAACTGAGACAGGGGAGGTTTAGGCTGGATATTAGGAGGAAGGTTTTCACTCAAAGGGTGGTGAGGCACTGGAACAGGTTGCCCAAGAAGGCTGTGGATGCCCCATCCCTGCAGGCATTCAAGGCCAGGCTGGATGTGGCTCTGGGCACCCTGGGCTGCTGGTTGGTGACTCTGCACACAGCAGGGGGTTGGAACTGGATGAGCACTGTGGCACCACGCAAGGTACAAATGGAAGGTGATGGGTTCCCCTGCAGCCTGCAGGAATGTGACCACAGGCACCAGAAGCTTGTCTTTGTCCCTATCCCCATCCCCATCCCCACCCTGATTCCCCATCCCTATCCCTGACCTTGTTCCCATTTCTGTCTCCGTTTCCCCATCCCTGTCACCATTCCTGATCCATTCCCCATCCCTCTCCCTTTCCATGACCCCATTTCTGTCTTCCTATCCCCATCCCTGTCCCCATCCCAGGATGGCTCTTGCCGGGGACATTGCACAGTCACGAAGTGAGGAGTGCCCCAAGCTCCCCACTCAGAGTGCAGCACTACTCAAATTTAGAAAACTCCAATGCACATCGTTTCAAAAAAAAGAAACAGGAAGAACTATTTATACGTTTGCTCAAGAAGAACATTTGCCACAGTGCAATTTGCATTTCTTTTTTTTTTTTTTTTTCATATTTATTTTTAAATCTCCCTGCTCTCATCATAGCTGGATTGATGATTTCTGTGTTTCTCCTTTTGGGAGGTTGACTAGGATAAGCTGCCAGCCGAATTTCTCTTTTATTTCACTCCAAGTTTTAATTTAAGACAGGAGAAGTGTGGCGAAGCTTCTCATTCTGTGTAATCATTTCTTGGCACAAAGCAGGGCACTAATGACCCTAATGGGTCGCATTGCTCCCATGGGTCGCAAGGCAGGGCGTGGGTTGGTGGCAGTGGTGGCAGTGGTGAGCCATGGCATGGCCAGTGACAGCCACAGCCCAACAGCTGACCATGATTCTTCTATGTGACACAGTCACAGCCCGGCCCATGCCCAGGTTCTGCACTTGGACACGGAAATCTGTTGGTAGTGAAACAGGTTCTGATCTCTGGATGGCTAAAGTAGGTTGGAAAAGACATCTGAGATCCCCAACCCAACCCCAACCCACACCACCATACCCATAACCACATCCCTCAGTGCCCCACGATGCAGAACACCTCCATGCATGGTGACCCCACTGCTCCCCGAGCAGCTGTGCCAATGTAACTCCAGACATGAAGACCACAGACGTACACCCATGAATTAACTTCATTCCTATTCAACTCAATGGTGCATCCTGTGTGGGTAAAGGAAGGGTTTGCTGGTCCCAGTATTTGCAGTCCAATGGCTGACAGCTCCCTTCCCCTGGAAATCCTCACTCTGTCCCTCAGGCTTGGATCTGATTTCTTGATTTTGAGGCACGAAGCGTCACAGAAGTTGTAAGTACTGAAATAGCAGAGTCCTAAAATACTGTTTTAGAGGTTTTAGTCAAATTGGAAAACATTAAATTTTATATCTACCTCATCTTGGCCTGCAGGTTAATTTTTTCATCCACAGATTTCCCACTCACCTTTCCCCACTTTTTCTCTTCTGCTTTCATTTTTTTTCTGTGCCATTTCCTTCACTTTGGAATCATTTGAGAGTAAGAACCCCCTCCCCCTCCCAAAAAAAAAGCCACCCCAACAGCCCAGATCTTGAAATGATCCATTTTTAGAGCCATTCTGAAAGCTTACAGTGAAGGCAAGTAATTACAAAAATAAAAAGGAAAACAGTTTTTAAAAATTGTGTTGTTTACAGATGGGGGCAAAGTGGGAGAAGGTGGCAAGAAACCAAAACACTTAAATATTTAAATTTGTTCTTCTGCACTGTTAAATCTTTAAAATCACCCCACCTCTGACCTGAAGGGAGAAGCAACTGTGATTTTTATTCATAGGGACAGGAAAAAGGTAAGAGGCATTGAGGTTAAATAAGGAGGAGGACGATCGTTTTGCAGATGGAGGAATGCAGGCAGCCTGGGGACGTGGGGTGCTCCCAGCAGTGCCAAGGCCATGGACACCTGAGCCGTAGGATTGGAGCTGGGCTGCTTTCCAGCCACATCTCCCAGCTTGGAGGCGATCAGCCTGAAGGAAAAGCTGTACTTTGCATGTAGACGTGGCAGCTCCGTCTCTACCTGCACACGGATGGCAGCACTGGGTCTTCTGGCAGCATTACAGCCACCCCACAGCCTCCCATGTCCCAGCAGCTGCCCACCACCCCGGGCAGCTCACGGTGGGATGCTCAGCACTGCAGCCCTACAGGTACGTGGTGGCCTCTCTGCTCTCCCTCTCCTTGGCCTGTGCGATAGCAACGTTGATGCACTGCAGCCACTCCTCCGTGCTCTTCTCATCCTTGGCCTTGAAGATGTAGCTCTTGCTGTTGGTGAAGATCTCGAAGGCCCGGGGCAGGCTGCGGTCCCGGCGCTTCTTGGCCACCACTTTGACACTCTGCACCTTGCTGAGCTCAATGGGGCAGTCGTCGGGGTCGTCTTTCTGAAACACAGGGTGGGGAAGATAAACAGGACCAAGTTCACATGCTGGGGCTTCCACCAAAAGGGAAGCAGCCACTCCTTGTGCTGGTTTGGAAAACGGAAGAGGTATTTCGTGCCTGAGTCGGGAATGCAAAGGAAGCCACGGCGGTTTTCAATGGGGAATGGAGAGCATGGCACAGCTCAGTCGTGCTGTGGTTTGAAAACAGAGAGCAGCACATCTGTGAAACCTCAGCGTCACTGTAAGAGTGGGGATGGGATGCAGGGAGCAGCAGAGATGGCTGCAAAGAGTCACAGAAGTTTCCTGTGGGAGATCTGTGAGCTCACAAACAGACACGAGCTGCGGTCTCCAGATGAGACATGTGAGCCCCAATCCCCCAGCACTATCTATGCTTCTCCTGTTGAGATTCTTAGGCTTTTTAGCAAGAGGAGTAAGGAAGGTTTTCCAAAAGCTTTCTGCTCCAACCACATGGATTCCCCATGCATGGACACAACACCAACACCAGTTCAGGCTCTATGGTTGCCCAAGGAGGCTGTGGATGCCCCATCCCTGCAGGCATTCAAGGCTGGATGTGGCTCTGGGCAGCCCGGTCTGCTGGTTGGTGTCCTGCACACAGCAGGGGGTTGAGGTTCTTTTCAACCCAGGCCATTCTAGGATTCTATGACAGCAATAAGTAGCTCTGCACTGAAATCAGACCCACGTTAAACAGTGAGAATTTTATCACAGCAAATGCAAAACAACAACAAGCTCAGGGGGAAAACCTGCCAACAGGTACTGAACAAAACCACTGTGCTCCCTTGATGGGATTCGTGTGCACACTGCTGAAAGCTGCTCAAGAAAGCTGATTGTACCCATGGCACATTTCTGTGAATACTGTTTACCACAATTTTCCAGGACTATGGGATGTGGCTCATTTTGAACCTCTTCTGTTTTGGTTTTCTCCTGCCTCCCTTCACTCGCTGGCAATCCCACTGCTTACTCAGAGCAAAGAGCATCTGCGTGGGTACATCTGCAGAGGAAAGGGTTGCGGTGGGAAAGAGGCACTCACAGCCAGCTGGCCGCCCTGCCGTGCCTCCTCTGTGCTGCTTTGGGCTTCCAGGCAAGCAGTGTGACAGTCCCAGCACCCACGTGCGCCCATCCCTCAGCAGCAGTGCCGGATCTTCTGTGCAGCTGGAGCAGAGCTGGTCCCACTCAGCCCTCCAATGAGCACCAGATGAGGCAGAACCTCTTTCTTTTCTAAACACAGAGTTATTTACCAGCCCTCATGGCTGCAGTGCTATTGGTGTGTCCTGCAGCCATTCCTGTTGCTGGTGGGACCTCCCTGCTGCTGCTTGCTGCCCCAGCACAGCATCTCGCTGTCTGCTCACAGTCCAATGCTGGACAGACTCTGTGGCACTGAGAGCAAACTGCCCCTTCCCACCAGATGCAGACACGAAGCAAGACAGAGCACGATGCACAGCCAGGGAAGCCCCTCTGCTGGTGTGTGCAACAGTCAAACCCAGGCCTGCATACAACGCAGGCTGCTGCAGGGCATGGGGGCTCCCGTGCTGCAGCCCAGGCAATGGTTAACATCTCAACTCTCTAATTTAAGCAAAAAATGTAGTGGTAACAGGATATAAGGCAGCAGTTGGAGGACTGATTGCCTAGGCACAACCACCTCAGTCCCTGGGGGCTGGACGCCAGTCTGCTCCTCGAGGAGCCAGATATTTGTGTGCAGCTCCAGAGGAAACAAAGAAGCTTGGATCTGACAGCTAAGAAAGGGAAGTTAACCCACATGAGTTCTGCCATTTAGCAAACTCTGCTGTCTGACCATCTCCTCACATCAACCAGGAGAGCCCTGAGAGCACAGTGCTGGGGTGACTGCTCCACGCCAATAGCATCCCAGGGGAATCAAGGTGTTCAGTGTGACTTTTGCCTGCCTTGTTTGCACAGCTAATTAAATCCATTCCGTTAAATGCATTTCCTTCAGCCAACCACCATGCTAAAAGAAATGACAACTACTCCAGCACTACAAAAAGTGAACCTCGGCCAGTCCTGAGCAGAAGCTGAGGCTCTATATGGATTGAAATGTCTTCAAAATCTCAATTCATCAGAATAAGTCACCAGAAAGTAAAGAAAAAACTGTTCTATTTGCAAGGGCCAATGCCCTCCCTGCTGCAGTCCTCAGAGGAAGGGGCTCAGGAAGCCATTTCAGAGGCTTAAAGAGCTTTGCTGGGTTTCTGCAATGAAAAAGATTATTTACCAGAAATACTAAGGCTTGGCTGCAGCTGGAGGATGCTGCTATTTTTGGATTACCAAAGAGAGTGCTGTTGCAACAAAAATAAAAGGCCTTTTTTTGCGCCATGTTTGATAATCCTCATTGTGAACAGCTGAGGATAGTTAGTTTCTACTAACGGGCAAGTAAGAACTAATGAGGACTGGATTTAATTACCTGCTCGTCCATGCCCAGCAATGAACTTGACTCTGAGTCACACTGGTGTCACTTCCAAATGATTTCACAGAAATTTCAGCAGAGTTGCCCTGAATTTAGATGAGGGCAAGAAGTGAAAGACAACACTGGGTTCCTTTGGGAGAGGAGCACTTTGGCATCACCTTGCCTTAAACAAACCTGCACTTCCTGCACAAACAATGCCTGTTATGGGAACACTCTGCAAGGGGGAAAATATATTTATCTAAGCGGAGTTTATTGAAGTGGTGTTTATGCAGTGTAATAATTGCTAGGCAGGATGGACAGCCAGATTTACATCACCGTTCCATTGGTGGTGGATGCATCGTGGTGCTGGAGCACCCTGTGTCAGCTGGGATAGAACTGGTTTCTCCAGCAGGCGCCGGGAGCAAAGGCTCAGCTGGAGGCGGCTGGGTGGAGCGTGAGGTCCGTGGCAAAAGCCATGTGGTGGAGCCCCTGGGAATGGTGATGCAGAGGAGATAAACACAGAAGGTGAGCTGATGTGTTCCACACTTACGGATTTTCCTTTCCGAAAGAGCAGCTGGTTTCCAGCAAGGGTGAAGTAGCGAGTTTTCCACCTCTTGATGAACTTCCAGCGGACCTGCTTCTCCTTCAGCTTGCCTTCCATCAGCGGCTGCCCGTCCTGGTTCACTTCTGGGGGGGAGATCACAGAGCAGGGGTTATCTCCACAGAGTGCTGAATATCCACAGTTTGGCTGACAGCTCTGCCTGCATTCCTCCTGACCCCAGCGCCCAGCCTTAGTCATACATTGCCTGGGAGGCCTGGCAGCTGCAGCAGGCTGCAATTCCTCCTTCAGTCCCTCGTTCATCACATACTTATCCTCAGCATCACGCCTCCCAATTGTTCCTCAGCCCTGCAAGAATTTATTACTCTGTACAACTGGAGGCCAGCACTTATGTTGTCTGTATGGCTTCACGCCACGCTGCAGAGTTCAGCACAGAGTTCTGCTCCTGCTCTGCAGTGCTATGGACAGGTTATCTCGCTCCCCACTCACTGCTGTGTGCCCACCAGCATGGCGTCCCTGTGCTTCCAACTGCACACCCACATTTTTCATAGAATCATAGAATTTCTCAGGTAGGAAAAGACCTTAAAGATCATCAAGTCCAACCCCAACCTATCCATACTACTCTAACTCTAACAGCCCTCTGCTGAATCGTGTCCCTGAGCACCACGTCCAAGCGGTTTTTAAGCACATCCAGGGGTGGTGACTCAACCACCTCCCTGGGCAGCCCATTGCTTAACAACCCTTTCTGTAAAGTTGTTTTCCCTGATAGCCAACCTAAACCTCCCCTGGGCCTTTTGCAGCAAAATTCACTTACTTATCATCAACCCAACACCACCGCCTTTCTGCTTCCCTGGGTGGCAACAGCAAAAAACAGCACTTGTGCAATGCATGGGTGAATGCCATCGGTATGGAGCGTGTGTTAAATGAAAGATCTGCCCAGGTCAGCGAGGAGGAAGAGAGGGAGACACAACAGCTTCTGCTCCCCCCAGCTGCACTGCGGTGCTCCTACAGCTGGGGCAGAAGGCGGTGACAGATGCAGCAGGTTTAGATCAGGAATGTGGTTTTTTTCCCCAGCGCTGTTTACATTGGCAGTAACACACGCTTTGGGGGTCTTCAGTGTGTACTGCTTCAATTTCCTCATGAAAGACTGTAAATATTTCCGTCTCTGGAAGGAGATACACTGAATGAAAATGGGGTGGCCAAGTTTTAGCCACAATAGGGGACCCTGCCGGTGATTGCTGTGATAAAGAGAGGTCATTCTGCACTCCTCGAGCCCCACACCTCCATCATTCCCATCATTTGCCATTCACGTGAGCAGCCTCTTGGGGGAAAGAATCTTTTTTCTGAATGAACACTCTAAATGACTCATTACGTGCACAGTAACTTTCAGACCTTGATGTCATCTGGATGGAGCTATAGAAAGATTTGATATGGAAAGACAGTTGCTCAATCAGTCGCTCAATCAGCAACTTAGGCTTTGTGAAGCAGTACTGATTCCAGGGCAGTAGGAACATGTTTTAAGCCAAACTAAGAAGCTTTAAGGCACAAAACGTTTGGGCACTGAGATGGTTGGTGGTCAGGAAAGCAACATGGGAAAGGAAGTTAACGTGCAATTTTGGCCTAAGCTGGATTTTCATGGCCAAAGTCTTTCACAAACAGGATTTACTGGAGAAATGCTGGTCTGTCTTTAAGCACTCGGGGCTGGAACCAATGATAACAGAGCGCTTCTCGCCTACATCCACTAAGAGGTCCATGGGGAATTCTGATGTCAGCTTCCAAAGTTGTGATAATGAAGCAGATGCCAGTATGTCTGAGGGTCTGATTAGAAGAAAAAGATTCATGAAAGATAAGAATGAAGCTGTTTTCCAATCTTTTTTTCTAAGTCCTTTTGCTTGTTTTGATTGCAGTTAACTTCACAGAGAGGCAGAATAATTCAGCTGGAACGGAGTTCGAGGGGTTGGTCATCCCACCTCCTGCTCAGAGCAAGGTTGGCTCTGGGGTCAGGCCAGGTTGCTCAAAGATTTAATGATCTGGGATGTGAAAATCTCAGCGACACCTCCAGTCAAGCTGCCCCAATGACTGACCATCCCTGCAGTGGGAAAACTTCCCTTTGCAGCTGATCTCAACTTCCCCAAAGCTCCCAGGGCTGCCCACCCCAGTCCTTACTGGGATTTTACTTGGCCACCATTGAATGCACGGTGTGTGCAAAGTAGGAATCCATGCATGGGGCCGTGCAGGCACAGGGCATCGGGAGTGGACCCACACTGCCCCAAGAAGGCAGAGATTCACTGTGAACTCTTGCCAGAACCAAACTCAGTTCCTGTTGACCCATGGCTTACCACACAGAGCATCGTTATGTGGAAGAAGCATCCGCATTTTTAATGCAGTTAGAAGGATCAAAAAAGTGCAATCGGCTGGCAGGTGGAATGTGCACTTTATACACATACTAATCACCAGAATATTGTGTCCAGTTTTGATTTGCTCAGCTCTAGGCAAACTGAGAAGGCTCCAGAACGATACAAAAATGGCTGATCTGCTATCCGACCATTCATGTCATGGGAAACTGAGGAAGTGCATTCTCTCCAGTTCCTCAAGCACAGATCTAGATGTGACGTGATAAAGTCTACACAGAGCAATTTTCCTCAGAACAGGGAAGGGCACCTTGAGATCCAGAGCTCAGCAACAAGGCAGAAATAATCCCACATTTTAGCAGGAGGTCGATTTACCTAAGCAACAACTCCTGAGTTGTCCTTCACTTACTTTTAAAGAGCAGATTTAGGCATCTTTAGAGAATGATGCTGGTGTGATACTGATCAAAGGGGAGAGATTTTCTCCACGTAAGCATTATTGGACCGGGTCTATACTAAATAGTACCCTAAAAATAAAAACGATGTTTTTTTTCCTACATAATATCCGTTGCTTTTTAAACAATTGCAGTGGAGGAAGACTAACTCCAAAATCAATTCAACCCCAAATAATTCCCACTGATGTAAGTGTCCACCATGATGTAAGCTGGAATTATTTTGTATTGCCTGTATCTTGTTTTCTTTGCAGAATTACAATGCGCCAAGCTCTGAGTTGTTTGGGTACTGAACAAAAGTAACAAAAACAAAACAAAACCTGACACCCTTCCAAGATGAACTCAAGAAAAAAGCAAAGCATTAAATCTTCTGTTCGATGAGACGAAGCCATCCACAAAAATTCAGTCCCATCATGAATGATCTCAATGATAATAAGCCCCTCTTAACTTGAAAGAATGGAATGTGTGGGTGGCAGGCAATTAACCTAAGGGAATATGGATTGGCTCTCCTTCATTAATCATCGCATTTGGTTCTGTTGAAAACCTGGAAAGGACACGTTGCTGAATGCCACTTTTTATGATTTTCAAGCAAGCATTACAGCGGGGATATTTCGGTTCACCAGATAATCACCACTGCTAGCAAAAGATAAATGCATCCCCAAGTTAACACGGCGTGGGCTCTTCTGAGCGAATTGCTTTTTGAAGGAGGAATTCATAAAAAGCCCTCCGTTTTACCCGAATCATTGCCCATGGGCACCATGTCTCCTCTGCAGCCCACGGGGATTACTGCGATTTCTTTGTAAGCTTCCAGAACAAGGCATGCACTGCAATTCCCTCGCAGGCTATCAAGTGGTTTTACTGAATTTTTGGTGTGCAAAGGCTTGCGAGCCAACTGTCAGCGCGGGAGGTTATGTTGAAACGCAGCTCCTAAAAGCCAGCTTTTCCCAATGAGAGGCACGCAGTGCTGACTAACGCTTCTAAAGCCTTACATCCACACTTGAATGGTTATTGTTGTAAAAAAAACAAAAATAGAAAATGGTGCAGTTTGGTCTTCCCAGCTCTGGGACCAGCAGCAGAACCAGCGTGCGTGGATGTGGGCAGATGAGTCGGGCTTACAGGAATGCTCTCTCCCTCCTTGGCTCAGGGGGAGCAGGAGCAAAACAACTCAGGATGATTTAGCAGCACTTCTGGAAGAGTGTGGTTGTCTAAGTAATGCTTTCAAGTGAGAAGAATGCATGTGAAATGGTCAAACTTTCTCTGCGCTGATTGCTGCGTTGGGTTCATCCACTGCATTGCTGAAGCACAACTGCATCTGCAAACAGCACCACAGAGCACAGCAAGATCCAGGCTTCAGGGCATAATCCTTCCCTAAGTCCCCAGGATAAATGGCATCTTGCAACACGGTATCAAAAAAATGTCACAAAAACCCAACATTAGCAGAAAACAAATGAAAATAATGGAAAAAGAATTTGCTTCTGAATTCCTTCTTGAAGGACCGGGTTGCTAAACAGCATTGCTGAGAGGGAGGAATGACTTTCTTGTCTTTCAAAAGTACTTGGGATTTCCAAAGGCTCTGTCCCACTGTGGAACAGGATAAAAGATGTGTCGCAGCCTTTACATTTCTCTCCCACTCCAGGAGACCTTGGAGCCCTTTCTTCTGCCTTATAACCCCCCCAATGAGCCCCGAGTGTCTCCCACTCTGGCACCACTCTTCCCATAGCTCCACACCCCCATTTCAGGAACGTTTACCTGCAGGTTTTCATCCACTAAGCACTATCTTCCTCCCTCTCGTGCATCTGAGCTGTATTACCACTAAGCAGTTTCATTCACTTGGACTTCTCAGGGCATTAAAAACTGAGGAGCGAGCTCCAATAAGATTTGGTGTTTTAAACAAGATGGGCTCATTTTCCTCATGGCTTGACATCCATCTCATTCTGGTGTGATGGACAAAGCACAGTAAGGCCACTGGACTGACTTACAGCTCAGAGCATGACTTCTCCTGCAGTAGATGAGTCCCATATGAGAGCTACAGAAGGAGGAAGAGTGGGAAATGCCCCATGGAATGAGGGCAGCTGCTCAAGCAGATAGCTGAATCAGCAAGCTATTCAAATGCTCGGCCAAATTATTCATAGTTCTCAGCCAGAATTGTGCATGCAGTCAACTTGTGGCAAAATTGTCCAAGAAAAAGCCATCCTGAACCAGAATCTTTTACCTGGGACGAAGTTCATTTTCTCCTCACCTTATTTTCTAACGTAGTTGAAGTATCAAGGCTGTTCCTAAGTGCTGCCTTGCTCTGAAGATGTGCCCTACAGACACAATGATGTTAAAGGAAGTGGAGTCCCTGGACAACCTCCCTGGGATGCCCTGACAGAGGACAGAGGTCAGGTGCAATATCAGTGCTGATGGCCCCTAAGGGATGGCATATGGGATGCAGCCAGGCAGAGGCAGCCCCATTATCTGTGTGCTGCAGGATGGGCACAGACCCCTCCCCACACATTAGCAATCATGCACAGCTGTGGGTTTACATTCCAAATCTCACCAGGAACGCTGAGATGAGTTTCATGGAGAGTTCCAATGGAAACAGACAGCATCTCTGCTACTCTGGAAAGCTAGCTTTGCTTTTGCACAACCACCACCACCACCAGCACTCCTGCACAGTGCAGAACCACACTGCTATGCACCCCTGGCTGCAGCCCGCCAGCAGAGCACTCACCTGTTGCCTTCTCAGGGTTGTTGCACATGAAGCACTGCCAGGCTCCCGCTTCCTCGCTGTAGCCAAATAAATCAAAGAACCTCACTTCTTCCAGGTGCATCTGCACGTGGTCCAGATCCTGGGCCAATAAGGAAGAGAAACCAAACCCCCTTATGCTTCAGGACCCTGCATCACAGCAGGAGCTGACAAGTGCCCTCTCTCACTGGTCTCATGCTGAAAAACAGCCTGCCCAGGTAAATTGCTGAGCAGGACATCTCTCTCTGCCATTGGCAGCACCCACTGCAACAGCTGTCTAGAAGCAAATCGTGGGGCTGAGTGCTTTCCACCTCCCTTCCACCAGAGCCCACAGCTGAGCCCCTCCTTTCCTCCAGCCCTCAGTGTTCTCCAGGACCCCCAGGGCAGTGGTTCCACATGCTGGGGACCTCCTGGCTGACAGCAGGTCAGATCTGTCCATGGGTTCCCAGTGCAGCCAGAGGGAGCGGCTGCTCTTTCCCTTTTTCTGTTCTCTTTTTGTTGTTGTTGTTGTTTATAAGGAAGAAAGTTCTGAACCCACGCCCCATACAAGAAGCACTATAATAATAACGTTTTAAAATGTCAATGTGAATGTTTCCAGAAATGAAGCAACAACAGGATGGATTTATCCTGCACAAAACACATCCAGGTACACGTGATGCTATCCTTCCACTGAGAGCAGGCAGCAAAGGGAGGGCTGGGCCAAAAAGCCAAGGTGATGCCTGACTCTGTGAAAGGCCTGCAGAAATCTCAGCTGCAGCTCCAGAAGGAGCCAGGAGATGCTCTGTCTGAGGCCATTAAAACATGGTGTAATTTGTTGTCGTTTAAACCCCACCATTTAATTTTTATAAAGATGATGACCTCACATTTAAATGGATGTCAGATAACAACCACCACAATGCTCTCTGTGCAGAAGGAGCAGGCGGGAAGGCTCAGAAAACATTCCTGCTTGTTTCCTCAGGAGCATCACCAGTCTGCAGCACAGCCCAAAGAAAACAAGAATTCATGCAATAGATGGGAACAAAACCCTGTGCTGCCAGGGATATGGGCTCACCCCACTGAGCAAAGGGGAGCTGTGCTATTCTCACCTTTTCTATCTGCTGGGGCAGGAAGGGCTGTGTGCCCTGCCCCAGGGCACTGCATATCACAGCACAATGTGGTTGCATTGCTCTGTCTGCATTGCTGAGGTGCTTACTGCCCCCTGAAGAGGAACTGCATGCAGCTCAGGAGCGTGTCTGGCTGCTGTGCTGTGCAATAGGAGAGGTGCACAGCCTCCCCTACCATCCTCCCACCCACCTGGGGGCTGTGAGGTGGACAAAGTGCATGGGGCACTGCTCCCAGTGGGTCTGTGCAGGGCACTGTGAGGATGGAGCTGAACAACAAGCCTGGGATCCTGAGGGAAACCTTCCAACATCTTCAATGAGCCATGTGAAAGGCAAATGTTGGGGAAATACTGAGGCAGCCATTGTCCTTTTTCACTCTGTATTCCTTGTATGCCAAAACAAGGAGCTGATTATGGGAGATGAAGCATGGGGAAAATGACTCACTGGAGAGGAGAGATGCATCTCATCCTGCCCTCCATCATCTGGGAAATGTCAGTGACCGCACTGTGAGAACGCAGCACCTCATTCTGCTGCACAGAGGGAGAAGGCAGACAAAGAGCAGAGAAGGACAGAGCCAACAGTGGCTTAAAAATGTGAACTATTCTCCTGCAACGCTGCTCAGCAAGAGGCACTCAGAGGTAACCAAATGTCTGCTCTGACACACCACGATGCAACACAACACACTCTGCACAGCTGCAACCAGCACAGCCTTCGTACTCCTGGGTAGAGAGCAGTGAGGCAACGGAATGGAGATCTGTAGGGATGCACATCTGGAAGCACTTTACTCCCGGCACGTTTTGAGCTGTGTTGAATCAATATTTTTTGTGGCACGATCCCGTTGTCCATTTGCCTTTTGGGACAGCACTGCCCAGCAATACGGGCATTCTCACTGCAAGGCATCTGCTGCAATTCCTTGCACGCACTGGTTGGCCCAGTTCTGAATTCCGACAGTGAGGTGAAGCTGGAAATACTGCTCAGAATTTACTTTGGGATAAATCACTGGTGCAATAGCTTTTCCTGCTGGTTTGCAACACTCTTTCGAATACGCATCAAGGAAACATCTGCATTGATTTATAGTGGAGCAGAGGTCACAGCATTGGCTTTGCTGGGTGCCTGCTGGCTGCCAGCCTGCAGTGTTCCCTGCATGCTCCCACATCATCATCAGCATCCCCAGTTCTGGCACAGCCATTCGGACAGTGCTGTAACACGGGGTGGGTAGACTTGGGTAGAGAACATGGTGTTCATTCTCAGCGTATTCCAAACGTCATCAAGAGATTTCAAAACATTTTAAATGAAAGCATCCAGAAATCTGCTTTCTGTCCTATTAGAAGAGGAGTGGGATTAATAGCAGCAATTGTTTTGTCAAATCATTCGCTATTTTGGAGTCCATTGGTGACAGGAAGACTTTGGACACCAAAGCATTAGGTTTTTGGGAAGCCTGCTGGGCAGAGCGATGGCTGGGTCACACCATGAGTGTTCCCATCAGGTTTTGGCAGGTAAAGGTAAAGGAACCCTCCTTCCACCCAGCAGGCCCAGGTCCCCGTCCATGAGAGCTCCATCAAACTTCACACAGTTGCTCAACAGAAACATCACGGAACCCAAATTCAGATTCTACATTACATGCAAAACAAAAATGGAGGAAGTAGTTGCAGCAGCACGCTGCGGGGAGCACCGCCGAAGCCATTCCCCTCTCAGGTGCATCACATCAGTCCAACAGTCCTTGGCCTCCGGAGCTCTTCCCATAACCAGCATCTCCTGGAGCTCCCTCTGCCCATCCATTCCGTCACAAATGATCAGCATCTCATTTTTCAGCCCCACTACTTCAGGAACTGGGAGATGCTCTTCCTGTTGGGCAGTGCCAGGAGTTCCCCAAACAGGCTGAATGCCTCTCTGACAGCAGCAGGATTGTGCAACCAGCGCTCTGGGGACTGATGACATTTCAAGGCATTTTTCAGAATGGGAACACACAGGGCACTATATCTAAGCCTCATGAAAGCACGCTCTTTTCCAAACCCTTTATTCACCCCAAACCCTTCTGTGCTCCACCAGTTCTGACCTGACCAATGACAAGGATCCAAGTTAAATGGCACTGTGCAAACAGAGACATCCCTAATGCCTCTGTATGACTCTAGCTGGGATTTCCATGCAGATAACAGGCTGGATGGGGACTCTGCTGAGCCTATGTCCAGTTGTCCATAAGCTGTGACCCACTGCTCTCACACTGCGGCAGCAGCTCCCTGCTCTGTCCAATGCAAGCTTGGGGGTTCAGAAGCTGTCTCTAATAAAACTCCTGCTTTTAAACTGCCCACAACTTTTGTAAATTAATCTTATCCAGCCAAACATGTTTATGCCTCCAATGTCCTGAGAGACTGTTTTAAAACCGTGTTTGACAGTGCATTTCATCCCATTTCGCTAGATGGAGATGTTCGGGGATGAGCAGATATTTGTTTCACAATCCTATAGCGTCCTTTTCCAAGAAGCCCGATTAACAGCTTTGAAATGGCATTCTCTGAAATCCTGGAGACAGTAAACAGCTTTGAAAGAGTAATCTTTTTAACTGGTGGGGGCAAGCAATGGTGAGTGTGCAAATGATCATCTTCGTAACAGTCAAGTCTGTGTTTAAGGAGGCAAATTTCCCAGCGGCTGCGTGACTCAGAAGCAGACTTAGAATCATAGGATGACCGAGGCTGGAAAAGAGCTCTAAGATCATGCAGTCCAACCATTCACCATCCATCACAATATTTCCCACTAAACCATGTCCCTCGGTACAACATCTATACGTCCCTTGACTCCACCACCTCCCTGGACTTCCTAATCTGCAGAACTTCTGATGGATGGGAAGGGAAGAAGGAAGGGAAAAGGGCTTGTTTTTCACAATGGGAGCACAGCAAACACTCGTTACAGCTATTTTAAAAGCTTTTTTTTTTTTTTCTCTCAGAGGAAAAGCATACTTACCTTTTGGTGTGGGAATGTAGACTGGATCATGGCAGTTTCAAAACTGTGTGTCCCCTTGAGCTGTGTCTTCTCCCATAGGGCCTTGAGGACTTGCACTGAACTACTCTGCATTGACAAAGGTTCAGCAAACAGGCTCTGAAAAAAAAATGTTGGAAAGTGCATTTGGAGCATTTTTGGCTCAGCCATTAACCAAGAGCATCTTGTTCCTTTTCATACCATGGCAGCCGTGGTATGAAAGCAACTAGTTCATTTCTCTTTCAGGAGTGATGATGGATGTACATGCACAATGTTAGATGAATGCCCACAGGTTTCACTTGCTCCTGGGGCTTTGCACTGAGCTGAAAGGGCTGTCACCTCCAAGACCTCCTGTCCCAGTGGTCTGGGATGCAACCAACTGCCTTGAAATACTCTACTGTTGCAGTGCTGGTAGGTTCTTCACCATATGAACTGCATACAAAGCCAATATTAAAAGAGTGGCTGAGAGAGCTTAGCATTATTCCTGTACTATATCTACAACATGATCTTGTAAATAGAAAATGCATTTGCATGCTGGAGCCAAGTTAAGAGCACACAAGCAAATCCAATGTTCCGTACTTCTAATGCTGGATTGCACAACACGTGCAACCCAGCTGGATTGCTCTGCCTGAATTAGAGCTGAGAAACAAAGTGCCTGGGGCTGCTGCCGGGCATGAGGAGCCTGCAGCCTGTTAGCTGGGGCTTAGACCAACTGAGGGGGAGTGCTGGGTGCTGCACACCAATGGGGGAAACCAACCCCGAGTCTTATGGTGGTACAGCATGATTTTAATGACCGAATCCAAGAGCACCTCCTGTGTCAGGTACCCATATTCTCATTTTCTTCCTCTTGTTAATTATCACTCTTCTGTCTGACAATCAGCTCTGCACTGAAATGTGCTGCCTTCCTTCTGACCGAGCGCTGCCCAGCCAAGAAAACAGCAGTACATGAATTTCACAACTTCCATCTGAGATGTTTGAAACACGAGACAGCTACCCATTAAAATTTCTGAAATTCAATAAAAAGCAGAGCCTTGAAATGAGGGTCTGCTCTGGAGACCATAGAGAAAAAGTATTTCTTGCTTCTACTGCTGCGGAGTCCAAGAGAACATAGTGTGAGCAACAATCAGTGAACAGAAACACGGTGACCAGTGTGGAAATTTGCAGAAATTGTGACCTAGGCATCACAGCCATACTGCATTATTGTTTTTTCCAACCATTTCTATACTCATTTCTAGGAACAGAGGGAGGAGTGACCTGACCTGCCAACTTCACAGCATAACTCACTGTGTATCAGCTCCACATTCTGGATAAACCCTTTGCATTTCGAAGGGTGCAGTAGGGTAGGGTGAATGACAATGATCAAATCTATTTAGGTTAAAAAACAATTTAGGACCCAGTTGTTTTACAATAAGTTCATCTTGAACAGCGTACTAATTAAGAGAAATCCTTACAAACTGCAAAACCACCTCAATCTGCCATGATGTAACCTCAGAGGTGAGCAATCACTCAAGTCACAAAAGCTCACCCAGCTGGTTAGGAGTGCATTCCGACAGATTAACCCCTAAAACATTGTTCCAAGCACAACATCAGAGATGTGCCCCACCATTGCCCTGCACACACCTGCTGGAAGAGGAACATGATGTGGATCCACAGTGGAGGCTGAGGACTGAGCAGCGTGAAGCTGGATTTGCTGTAGAGGCAGTAGTGGCCCTTCAGGGGACAGCTGAAGAACAGCTTTGCTACACAGCTTCTCATGGTATCTGAAAGTAAGTAGAAAGAATATGAAAGTCAGACGCATACCAGAGGTATAGCTGCCCCTAGCTGGGCACTGCCATGCCTGGGGATGGCTCTGGTGCACACAGTGCCCAGGTTAATGAATGTGAGCACAAGTGTGTGTCAGCAGAGCTGCTCCAGCTTTCTAGGTACACGTAGGTAACCCACTGCCTGGGAACAATCCATGCATTATTTGAGTTACAGTGGTAATCTTGTACTATTAAGTGAAGCCTGCTAATAGGAGAGGAGGTATGCTTATCAGCTTCCCATCTGGAATCAAACCCACCGAGAGACACAGAGCTGGAGAAGAGGAAATGAATATGACTTTTATAACGGCCTCAATTTTCAACCATTTCCTCAGTTTCCCTTCAGTTTGGGTTATAGATAGGGATGCAGAGAATAACTGTAGGAGAAAAGGGTAACGATTGGAGCAGTCAGCTTCAGGAAATGATCACCTCCTGGAGCACCACCAGCCATGCATGCACATGGCTCAGTGCAGGGCACGCATGTTGTCACACAGATGGCATGATGCTGACGGGCACTGGGCGGCCCCTTCAGCACCATCAGAACAGAGCTCAAATCTGAGTGGAAAAGGCCATGTTTGGGAGCACACAGATTGGCTCAACTTCATTACTGTTCTCTGCCTTCCTAACCTAACCTAGCCTGCCTTCCTTTGCCCTTCACTGCCGGGGTTACGATGCACCTGGGAGGGTGTCCCTCTGCTCAGCACCAGCACCGAGGGCTGCTCACCTCTGCATGAGGCCAAGATGGTGCCACTCCTATGGCCATGGCCCCTGGCTTCTGCAGTATAGAATAGCAAACCGCAGTGGGAGGCTGCTACCTCCAGATAAATGGTGTCTGGAGAGGTCCATGTGGCCATGAGCACATCCACCTTCCTGCTGAACTGCCCCCTGCCCTGGGGACATCTCTGCAGATCCCGTGAGCACAAGGACCATCCTGTGCCTTTGGGTCAAATCCAAGCACTCATAGCAGCTCTGTGGGATAAAATCCCCACTGGTATATCCCTGGCACAGCAGAGGAGAGCCCTGGCAGCACCCAAAGCTCCACGGCCCCACCAGGGCCACAGCTGCTTCCAATCAGTGCAGAAGCACCGGGCTGCGGCGGAGGTGAGCGCTGCAGGGGAGCTGTGAGCTTTTCCATCACCTCCACTGTATGGTACCAATTACCCCTCGGCACAACGGAGTGCTTAACAACAACCAGATTCAGGACAGCTGCAACCTGCTTCTCTGCCACCTCCTCCTTTATCAGCACTCTGTCTCTAAGCCACAGAACATGTGTGCCCATGGCAGAGCATCACGGGACCAGGAGCAGAGCATGATACTGAGGGGCTGAGATGCTGTTCATTGAATTCAGCTTCAGTGCCCAAGAACTGGATGATGCATTGGGTCTCCCTGGTCTCTGCTCTTTTAAGGCAGATATTTGCCTGGCTGTAAGGCTCTCAGCCTGGAATTTACCTAATCACTTGTGAAAGCAGGTACAGTATAATTTTCAGTATAATTAATGCACTGCAGCAATCAGTTCTGCCATGAAATTACATGCGGCTAATTACGTGGTGAGAGGCTCCTATTTTGCATGTGTTGAGTTTGCTTCCTGACAATTTCATTACATCTTCTCCCATATGCATAACAGGACAGACAGTGAGCCACCACTCCCAGCGAATCTTCTGTCATCTCTCATTTACAGAGCCCTGCCAGCTGGCTCTTTCTGGACCATGCAGTCCCAGGTCAGTTCAGTCTCCTGCATTTAGGGGCTCTGATGATCCTCACACTCCTCCCACAGGTCTGCTTTGTCATTCAGGATTCAGACTGCAATCAGTGTAGACAATCACTTAACGACGTCATCATGACATATCTGTATTTCTTCATAATTCTTTGCTCCGTTTGCTTTCCAGCCCACAGAGAACATTCAGTTGCACCACATCTGGAAAATCTTCAATATCTCCCAACTCTTGGAAGCGATGCCCTTGGTACTGGTGTCCCATACCTGGCAGGGGCTCCAAACACCAATTCTGTGCCTTTCCAAAAGCACACAAGTGTCTCCTGCCCAAGGCAGCATGCCCAGGCAATGCTTTGGAGGATGGCATCCAGGCTGAGAGCTGAAGAACTCAGCAGACAGCTTGGACACCTCCTGCACTAGAAGCACAAGCATGGTTCTGAATCCTGCTGAAGTGAACAGCACTTGGGCTGTTGTTAATTATGACTGTTCTGAACTGCCTATAGTGTGCATTCTCTCTTTGATATCCTACATTTCCAATTCAACAAGTTCCCACATGGCCGACTGTGCGCGTTTAGAAACATGCTAATATTTTCTAAACGTTTTACTTAGAAAGTGAAGCAGGTAAGTTTGAATGAGCCTTTATAGTGTGCAGGGATCGTATAAGCCCATCAGCTGCCAGGTTTTTGATGGAGTGGTTTGTGTAATATCTGAAATATGAACAAAGCTGTCCCCCGTGTAAGGAGGCAGACATTTCTTTGAGCGTATTTGGAATGAGTCACATAAATCTCCTGTTCTGCACATGTGCCCCTGCTCAAGGAATTTCCCCAAGAATGCTAGATGTGGATTTCCAGGAAATTACAATAGTTGGAATGAATTTTGAAATAGTGACATGCTCAGAACATATCATAATAGGTACTTCAGAAAGCAAATGGAGCAATGTATTTAAAAATATTGATTAACACAAGATTGCAGCACTTCCAGCCAGATTGCTCCCTCACATGTTTCCATTGTGACTCTATGAAACAAAAGTTTCATCAATAATAATAACAATTTCAAATAGCAGACCTGACATTTTTGTCCTTCTTTAGAAATTCCTGCAGAAATATGAGCTTTTTTAATAAATAGTTATGTCTCTTTTATGAGTGGAGACTTGTTAACTCACTGACCATAAAAAAGTAAGCAAACAGGCAGAGAGATATCTGATGGAAATTAAAATCTGGTTTGATGTAAGAGACTTGAAATTAATTTGAGTTACTCTCTGTAATCAACACAAGCCACGAAGGGCTGGAATGCAAAGTACTCACAGGCAGCAGCAGGTGGTTTGATGCACACATCTCCTTGTGTCCCAGTAACCAACAGCTGCTCAGTGCGAGCAGGAGGCTTACAGCCCAACCTCCACCATTTTCCTTCAAGGAGCATCAAGGATGTGTTTGGCAGCACACTGCAATCCAGCCCCACCTCCATGGGCCTCACAAAAGCAGCTCTCTCACACTTCAAGACAAATATCCTCCCTTGATGAAAGCAGGAATCATTAAAGGGGTGTGGTGAAGTAGGATCCAGCCTAAACTGGAGCACCAGGACCTTATGCAGTCGCTTTCAAGCAGCATTTTTTGAGGAACGTGGTGGCCCAGCTCTGCAGCTTGTGTTGTCACAGCCCATAAGCTTGTTCAGGTGTGTGCTTCTCACTGGATCATAGAATGGTTTGGGTTGGAAGGGACCTTTTAGATCACAGAGTTCTGACCCCCGCTATAGGGATGCCTCTCAGTAGACCAGGTTGCTCCCAGCCCCATCCAGCCTGGCCTTGCGTGCTTCCAGGGTTGGAACATCCACAACCTCTCTGGGCAACCTGTTCCAGTGCAGCCCTGCTCCTGTTGCATTTGCTGCCCATTTGCCCAGGTCCTGCAATAACACCTGTGTTAAAGCTGCTGTAACCAGAAAGGCTCAGACCTCTTACCTTCAATAACACAATGGTCAGGGACAGGAATCCTCCTCCCCATCTCCATGACGTATGCTTTCACTTTACCCAGGTTTTCCTTCAAGTGCAGGTAGAGCTTGTCGTGGCACTCCGCAGGATCCTTCCCCAGCACCATGCTTCCTTCCTGGGCCTCTCCTCCAGCAGGTGCTGGAGAACCTTCTGATTCTGTGCAATCGATACTCTGGTGTGAAACCAAGGAATTTCCCAGTTGCATTTCTTCAGCATCGACACTGAAAGGCAACTTGTCATTTTCTTGGCTGTTGTAGATCTCGGTGAAGGAGATCCCAGCAGTTACATCCCCATTCTCCTCGTCTCGCCCGCTGTCTGTGTTCACCCCCTTCATGCGGACTGCATGCAAAGCCAGGCTCTTGGACCTGGAATGCAATTAGGGAAAAGTGCTTTGGAATGGAGGTATGGCAGAGCACAGTGTGGTGAGCAGTGAGAAAGGACTCATTTGGAAATTTGCTCTTCAGAGTTAGCACTGTGCAGCCAGCTCTGAGAGTTGAGTACAAGGCTAGCTTAACCAAGGGAAATACCTTCCACAAACACGCATTTCAAAAGCAAATGCAAGCCAGTTTTAATAAGCAAATGAAACTTTGTCCTAAACATATATCACAACATCTGCATGACATAGAAGGACCCAATCATCCTATCTGTGAGACACTTATAGCCCCAGCCCTGCAGCGTACGCTTTATTGATCACGTCATAAAGATGCCATCCAACAGCCATTCAACTGCACCACGACTCAGCCTGCAGCTCTGCGTTACCCACACCTACACTCAGCACAGAACAAAGGTCTCCATTAGAACAGGAGGCTGGAAGGGAAGTGCCTGGAAGCAGGCGCAGAGCTGATGCATGTCCGTATCTTCCTTTCCACAGTCATCTGCGAACATTTTCCATCCTCCCTGCTGTTTCAGAGTGCAGAACAGATTCAATAAATAACTTGGAATTTTTTTGCCAACCTTTAAATTCATGGATACGAAGTTGGTTCAAACTCCTTACAATGCCCAGAGGTATCACAGAACCATTTCTCAATATTTGGATAACGTTTCATTACGAAATTGATATTCCTGAAAACCACTTGTGCATTTAATAGAATCATACCTGTTAAATCTCATATCCTTCCTTTCTTCTTTAGAAACCTGGCCTAAGCTGTATCTTCTCACTGAGCCAGGGGTACTGGTGTCAATATTTATTTTTTCTTCAAAAGCCTGTATTTTCTCTTGAAGTTTTTCATCTTCTTCATTTCCATTCACAACAGATTTTAAATTGCCCAGTGGCACAGGGGATACCGTGTCTGTATCATTTTCTGTCCTGGGGAAGCAGAAAGCAGAGATTTAGCTCCAGCACACTTTGCTCCTCATGATGCTGATTCTGCATTTCCACCGCTGACCCACGTCATGTGCCTGGGGAAATAATTCTGTTTCAGCAGAGATTAATGTAGAGGTTGATTAATCATTCTCAGAAACATCTTCCAGATCAACATCTCTGTCAGATGGATCAGAAATACTGAACATCTCTGACAACGTTGGATTAGAAACTGCATGTGCTGTATCTGCACAAGCAGAAAACCTCTTTCCCTGATAGTCCCACTGGGAAAAGTTTTTCAGCTGAACTTAAACCATCCCTCCAAGCTTGCTAAACAGTGACTTCTTACATTATTTTCATAAACCAAAAGTAGAGCTAATTGCAGGGTTTAGAGAGGGCTGTGGTTTTAACAATTTGACAAAAGCACATGCAGTTGGTACTAACTTAATGTACTCTGAGTAAGAAAAAACATGTTTTGGAACTCAACACATGGAAAGAAATGGGATCAGGAGAAGTTCTCAATAATTCCACCCGGAGTTCTGAAACAAGCTGGTGTTGCTTCTGGTCCCCTTGGCTTCCTTCTCCACCTTAGGAGCAAACATTGCAGTGGCGCAATCCGCGAAACACGGGTATAGAAAAGCCACAAACAAGGATTTTAACACACCGTCCTCAAAGCAATTGCATCTCAGCAAGTCGTGCTCACAGCTGGGAAGCCCCTTAACAAGTCTCAAACACTGCAAATCAGCAGTTGTGGAAAGAAAGCACATTTGAAGAAAACAACTGCGAGCACTGCATCACAGAGCGTGCTGTTTGTCTCGATAAAGGCAGCTCAGGATTCCTCTCGGGGGACTCAGCAAGTTTTGTCCTGTTTGGTTTTTAATTCAGGCAACAACAGATTAACACTGCAGAGCGTTTCTGAAAGAAGTATTCTAATAAGGAACTGTAGTATGACCTTTGCTAAGAAATCCTTCTGGAGACGTGGGACAGGATTGGGAGTTGGATTAGATGACTTTGTAAGGTCCCTTCCAACTCAACACATTCTATGACTCTAAGATTTCGTCCATTTGAAAGATGCCAGCCCAGCAGCTCTCTCAACATTGCTCTGATGAGTGCTAAGGCAAGCTTTTTGCACATACATGTGTGTATATAAAGCCCCGAGTGGGGATGGATGAGCTGATGGCTTTGTGAATGATGGAGCCAAGCCAGCAAACCTTGATGGTGGCTGGAAGTAAGAGTGGACTTTCATACCAGCACCTTTCTTCTAGTGACAGGACAGGAGGAAATGATCTTCAACTGAGACAGGGGAGGTTTAGGTTGGATATTAGGAGGAAGTTTTTCACCCAGAGGGTGGTGAGGCACTGGAACAGGTTGCCCAAGGAGGCTGTGGATGCCCCATCCCTGCAGGCATTCAAGGCCAGGCTGGATGTGGCTCTGGGCAGCCTGGGTTGCTGGTTGGTGACCCTGCACATAGCAGAGGGTTGGAACCAGATGATCATTGTGGTCCTTTTCATCCCAGGCCATTCTGTGATTCCATGATTCACAAATGATTCTATGATTCTTTTCCAGCATTCTCCAGTTGAGCCCTGATGGCTTTGCAAAGGAAACACAAGAGAACGCATCCGCTAAAGAAAGACATCAAGAAAGCAATATGTTAATAAATACAGAGCTCATCACCACACCTTGCACCCCACCTTAGCACTGACCTGGCTGATACCAGGACCTCCAGCAACCACTTGCTCTCTCACACATACCAGCTCAGCACCCAGGAAGACAAAAGCGCCTCAGAAGAGTGCAGCAAAGCCCCTGCACTGTGCCCAACGGGATGCTGGCAGCCCTTCCTGCCGGCCTCCCCTTGCAGCAACAGTAAAATAAACTATTGTTTGAAATCTTGGCAAAAGGCATTTGGTACATTGCTGAGGTTGCTGGAGTGGGATCAGCTTACACCAAAGCTCGGACTGGTTTCAAGAGGGAAAGGATGCACAGACCTATCATGGGTCACAAGGAACCTTGCTTGCAAAACCCTCAATGCTGTTGTGCTTCTCATTGTTCCATTGCTGTCAGGCTCTCTTTAGAGAACTTTAGAAAGCCATCTAACTCAGCAATCAAGAGTGATATATTAATTTAAAGAGCGTTTGTCTGGACTGTCACCAATATCAGCATCACCCATCTTGTGCTTCAAGTGGGCAGAAGAGTGCCCACAAATAGAAATTACTGAAAACACAGAGGGATGGGATGGCTTCCAGATGCAGCTCTGCTGGGAAGCAGTGTGGATGGATAGAGCACAGGTCCTTGTGATGCATTAATGCACAGCTTTCAAGGCATGGTGGGATGGCATGGGGCAGGCAGGGAGAGGCTGCAGCTCAGGACCTGCCTCCACTCATGGGGAGGAAGCTATTAGGAGCTTCCAAATATTGCCAGAAACCAATTACCTTGCAGAAAATGAAAGGCAACTGAAAAGTAAATGAATGCTAAAACGACACCATGTGCTCAAGGAAGGAAAGGTACCTCCAGCTGCTGCTAACCTGAGCAGCACTGCTGCCATCTCTTACCCCCCCAGTCCTTACCCAGAATGATGGCTTGCAAACATTAATTTTTCTTCCTACCTTTTCCTGCCTACTTTTAATTGACTGTGCTACACTTGTTGGTTGGATCTGCCCGTTAAGACTCTGTATGTGTTCTTCAAAAGCACCTCTGAGATGGAACAACTTGCAGTAGAGCATCACATGGTTTTAATTACACTCTCTGCTAAATGCATGTAAAATTCCCAGTGTCAAACAACTCCAAGTGAGCCGTCATTCCAAAGAAATAAGTTTCTTCTTATGTAAACATACAATTCTGGAAGGAATGGTTGCAATCCAGCCACACATTTTAAAACTTTTATATTCCTTCCACAACACAACTGCTCTGGATTGCTGATCCTTGAAGCACTGCAGCAGAAATGGCAGCAGCACTGCAGCCAGCACAGATTGCCATGTCAGCCTCTGGGTCGTTCCCACTGAACATCAGCACAAATCAGAAGCAGCTCTTTGTAAATCAGTGGAGGTCCCTCATTTTAGCCTGAATTTGCTGCTCAGTACTTGCTCCTGTCTGGGTTAGCTGATGCTATGCTTGATATAGGCCTGAAATGGTATTTTAATTTCCTTCCACAGCAGACACAGCTCTGCCCTGCCCTCTCCTCCCGCAGCTCCACACACAGTGCAGTATTTTGCATCTGCATCCACACACGCACACACCAAGTAGCTTCTACTTTTCAGCAAAGCAAGTCCTTAACTAAGGGGTGTTTTATAGAGAAATGGGACAATAACACTTTAACAAAAGCCTTTTCCTGTGCTTTGGATAAATGATAGATGCAGAACATTAAACAAGGCATAGGAAAACCACAGCATATTAGCAAATAGCATCATTTTTCTACTGCAAATCAAATGGCCAGTCCTGGGCAGCAGGCACAATCCTTGTGCTTTGCGTGTTTCTCCCAGCCCTGCAAAACGAGTGGCTCCAGCAGGGCTCCTCTCCTCTCTCATTTCTAACCCTCCAGGATACCAATTAGTTGTTTCTCAGATGACCTCCATGTTTTGGCTCCGGCCCTACGTCTGTCTCCAAGGCTGTCCTTCATGGTTATGAGTTTTCTGACATCTGTTATGTTTTATATCACAGCATTAGTATCCCCTTTGTGCCCTCCTGACCCACGTCAGTGTACACAATGCCAATGATAAGTCTCTCCCTAATTAAAAGTGACTGCTACCAGCTATCTAAGTGACACCTACATCCTTATTGCGACAACCACAGCATTGCTCCCCATGCTTTAATCTTAGGACAGAGATTTGGAGAAGCTGATTGCTACAGCAGTTGGGTACAAGTTCAGGATATTTACTCAGAGCTCTTTAAGTAAACCCATGTCACAGAGCTGTGCCAGCCATTGTTCTTCTCAGCCTCAGTGGTTATCTTCTAGAGTAAACCCAACGATAGTTGCACAGCCTGACTTCACTGGTTTATTTTGAAAGGAAGCCTTGCAGATTGCCCATGTCTGCTGATGTGGGACACGGCTTCCTTTCTGTGCTTTTGGAAATGCTCAGACTTGAACAGCTTCTTTGTTCTCCAGTGCCAATGACACAGCTGCTGCCATGTGATGTGCAGAAGCACCTGGCATTGCAGGCACCTGGGGATCATCCCTACAGCCTTAAGTTGTTTCTACAGACAGAGGTGCTGTCCATTATGTGTAAGGGTAAGCTTGCACACAGACCTATAACCAATGCAATCCAACAGCAGAATGTGCATCAACTACAACAAAACACAAGGGATAATCAAGATCAATTTGCAAATAGCAACATGGCAGCTCCCAGGAGCTCCTAGTGGCTCACACAGCCCTGTCACACCCACCGGCTCTACCTGGCTGATGCTGAGCTGCTGTTCTCCAGCTGCCTGACCAGGAGCTTGGCTATGGCAGTGAAGCTGTTGCTCATGCGGTAGATGTCTCTGCTCTGGGTGCCCAAGATGCCAGAGAACGTGTCAGTGAGACTCTTAATTTCCAGCAAAAGGATGTGGTGAAAAGAGTGCTCCATGTTGGCCAGCTGGTTCACCAAATACATCAGGCACTTCCTGGCTTGCTCCTGGACAACACAAGGAGATAAAAAGAAACAACTCTAAACAAACAAATGCAGTGTTTGCTCATGCAAGGTGGGTTGTGTGCACGTTGGGCACACATGGACATGTGTGCATGCTGCTAATGAAAGCACTGTCATTAGGGAAGGGTGGTACCCCTCGAGGCCAAATGCAGGCACATGCTGTGCTCATGTGCCCCCAGCTCAGCGGGGAGCAGACCCTGTGCTCAGGGCTGTGCCACACAGTTCATGGCTGGTTCCATCTTGGAGTCTTTGTTGTGGCTCCACTGCATGAATGGGCATGTGTCCAGGTCACTGCCTTGCCCACGTTGCCCTCTGCAGCTCCAGGCACTCTAGAGCAACCAGACAGTTACAACCAGCTCCATGCATGCCCCCAGCTGTGATGAGCACACAGCCAGCAGCCAATACCTCTTTTTCCAGTGCACAAATATGTTTCCTGATTGCGACTTCCCTTCTGGATCCACTGCTGCATGTAGCATTGCCCCCAGAACCAGCCTTTAGCAGTGATCCCAGCAAAGCTCAGCACTGCAGTGTCCTGGGTACCACTGCAGCCCCCTCAGACGTGGGCTGATGGTGAGGAGTTCAAGCATCCTGTATATCACATATGTGTATCACAGCAGCTCTCCTTGCACTGCAGTGCAACACTTAGATGAGACCAACACTGCAGCAAAGAGGAGTTTAACATGAGATTTCATCATAAGATCTCACCACTGGTGGTGAGCTTCTGCCTGGCAGCCCTATCAGTCATGCCACACACTGCAGTCTGATATGCCCTTTGTAGCCAAAGCTCTGTGGAGCAATTTACCCACAGGACCACATTCCTTGCCAACTAGGATGAAAGGGGCTGTTTCAGATCCTAATCTAAAAAAGCACAGATATTTTCTAACAAAGATACCTTATCTCTGCTTGGCAAGTGCACACAAATCCAATTCCAACTATTTTTGTGTGCACATGTGCAAATTCTCATACTAAAACACAAGCCCTAAAGATAAAGAAATGCATGGGGGGTTTCTGTGTTTTATTATAATTGTCCTAAGCAGTTTGGGTTCCAATGTGCTGAAAACACCTGAGTGGCAGAAGCAGCAGAAGGAGAAGCCAGTAGCTCAGCAGCTCATATTGGATCCTCCAGTGGGACAGCAGGGCTTGGGTTGGAGCAAACACCTTCCAGCCCAGCAGATCCTTACAGAAACTGGGAGAAACTTTGCTATTAGAACCTGTGCCAAAATGCATGCAAAGGCACTTTAGGAAAATAAAGGCTTCTCATCTTACCAAGCATTAGCAGGTAAGGAGGGGAAGCAGCGCATCACATGCAACCTCCCTACGCTGCAGGGCAAGAGCAGTATTGCCTTGGATTTCAGAAGAAACTCCAAATTCCTCTAGAATCATGTAACAGGAGAGAAAACACCACTGAAGGTTGGCTTCCAAGCGCAGCAGGCCCATAAAAGCACACGGGAGACATTGGCAGGACATCACCTGAGAGCTGTGAGAGACGTGTTGTGTGAAAAAAGTCAACTTGTTCCAAACTAAAGGCAAATGGCTGCCCTGTGTCATGGCACAGAGGAACGGTGCAGCAGTCAGAAGAGCCCTTCAGCCCCATGCAGAACCAGTGCAGGTACTGTGGGGTGGGCTGGGAGCTGCGGCGGAGCCTTTTTCTCAATGGCTCAAAGGAGGCTGGCTGTTGGGTAAATATTCCCTAACTTATTTAGAAGACATTCCTCCCTCCTAGAGATAAACACGGGCTCAATTAACATTTAAAACACATTTCTGTTTCCTAAACAAACTGCGCAGCAGACGTAACTGGAAGAGAAGTTCTGAGCGTTGCCGTGTCGCTTTGATCCAGCTGGAGCTCCTCCAGCCCGCTGCAACGCTGCTGCTCGCCTGGAGCGAGCTGAAAGAACAATAAACCCCGCCAGCCATGTCATGTGTAACTGTTAAACAAAACAGAGTCACGGCAAAACAGCTCGACATGAAAGCCGTTATTATCTCCGTCGCAATTTTTTATCCCAAAAAAGAAAAAAGCAAAAAAAAAAAAAGCAAAAAAAAAAAAAAAAAAAGCAGAAAGCCCATTTGGACAGAACTCGTTGTTGTTGGGAGCTGCGGGTGTTTTCTGATTTTGTGTGTCTTGCAGATATTGCAGATATCTCTCACGTTTTCTGGCACTCTGTCTGCTGGGAGGTGAGGATCCAAGCCATTTGGTGAGGTGTGGCCAAGCACTGTGCTGTACCTGAAATCTGGGCTGGGGAGACTACCAAAGAGATGACAGGGAGGCAGAAGGAGCTCCAGTTTCCAGTTGGCTTAAAACACACACTTGTTGGAGGAATGAATCTGAAATACCCAGCTGTGCCCTGAGGTGGGGTTTTGCTTTGCACTAATTTACAGCCAATGAACAGGGTCTGATTTCAGCTTCGCCCACTGGACCCTCTGCTTGTGTTTGCAGCCTATGCTCTAAAGGGCCAACCCTCAATCCTTGCCACTTCTTTTTGCCAAGTGAGCCTCCCAGTGAAATCAAATATCAACAAATAAAATTCCAACCCTACCATTACCGTTCATTTCTCACTCGCTTTGCTTGGCCAGAAAGGGGCTGCAGGTGGGGGCTCACGTCCATAGCCCCAGCACTGGGGCAGGATGAGGGGAGCAGCAGAGGAGTTCCAAAAGGCACTTCCATGGTGTCTGGCTTAGGGAACAGCCCTCTGGGACTGCTCTGCTGCTCACACACCCTGCTGGACCCGACCTACGTAAGCTAGCTGGCAGCAGGGATGCCTGGAACACAACAGTTCCACTTAAGTCAGAGTAGAACTTCAATACTTTCTTGTGGTGCACTCATTTTTATCAGCTGAACCTTTAAGGCTCGTCCAGCTTTCGTGATGCCAGATGTGTTTCTGCTTATCTAATTGCAGGCTGAGCGCCTGTGCTGCAGTGAGCGATGCTCAGTAGATCAGTGAATTCAGTCTCAAAGGCTTTTTCCCTACTTTTAAGGTGCCTGATCTGCACAGCAGTGCCCAGAGACAGTTATCCCATGCAGGTTTGGCCATGGGAAGCTACGTGCAACTGCACCAAGCAATGGATTAAAATAGGAGAGACGTACTCTTCCGGGCAGCCTGGTCTGGTGGTTAGTGACTCTGCACATAACAAGGGGTTGAAACTCAATGATCACTGTGGTCCTTTTCAACACAGGCCATTCTATGAAATATTCTGCTGAATGCAGAAATAAACATGGCCCACTGCAGCTCTTGGAGTCTTTAAAACCTCGAAGAGAGGGACTGAGCCCTGTCTATATACACAGGACTGTGTTCTCCAGCCTATGTGGGGAAAAATCTCCCTTGATTTGGCACAAGGATCACAAAGTCCAGGGGCTGGTGGAATTCAGCTCCGCAGAAATTAATTATCCATGTCACTGTGTGGCAGGCTTCAGTGTCACACTCCACAAATGGTCCAACTTACGACATACTACTCATTTTCTGCCTGGGCAGCCAAGTTTTATCACAGCCATAAAAGCCTGACTTATTTAGCCAAAACTCTGTGATTTCAGAGCATTAGTTTTGCCTTCATAGAACTGATTTGAGGCAGAAGGAAAACATCTATTGCTAGCAAGGAAAGACAGTAAGCTTGTATCTGGGAATGGAAACCCAAATCTCATTATAAATCAGGGTATGTCAGATATAAGCCAGGACAGCGTGGTGCCCTGGGACACCCAATAGTTCAGACACTGGGCCCAGGCTGCCCAGCAGTGCTGACCACACTCCGAGCCTGTTTGCAACACGTGGCTCTGGTGAACATCATTCCATCTCCGCACTGCATACTTACGATGGAAGCAAGAAGCCCACTGCAAATTCATACCTCTGTCCTAGAGGTCATGAAACAGCTTTTAGGAGTTTGCCACTGTACATCGTTGTACAGCACAGGGCTCCCACAAGGTCAAACCCCAAGCTGAATTAACATGAAGATGTTCCCAAGATGAGGTTCAGCCCAGCACCGCCTCTGGGCACTTCCATTATACAGACATTTGTCAGAAGTATTCAATTAACTCTGGCTACAAATCCAAAATAGCTGGATTACATGATATTAGGAAGTTCATATTTCATCACATGCTTACAACATTCCTGAAGGCTATATGCACTTAAAATTCAATATCATACCAAGGGGCTGCAAAATATTTCTTTTTCCTTTTCTTTGCCTTTCATTTCTCTTACTGTAGACACTGCAATCTGAGCTAAGCTGCTGGGATAACGACAGCCGTGTGCATTTATCAACTAGGAGCTTTAGCCACTCCGAAAAAGATGATAGAAATAGAACGTATTCACACAGAGAACAGATGCACTGTTAATTAGGAGCAGTAATAAAGAGACTACACTCTAGTAATAATGATACCACATTCTAGACATACTGCCACCTTACAAACCATGGAGACATTTCTGGTAGGATGCTCTCTGGTTACTCCAGAATATTTAGCATAAGGTTTAACAAAAGAAGCAGACAAACAAGAAAACACGTGTGCTGAACCAACCAGCCCATCCCTTTAGTTTCCTAATTACCTCATCAACGAGTCCAACAGCCCCAAAGATCTTCGCTGTTTGCCCAATCAAATGTGGGAAACTCTCACCAATTTCTTTTAGCTCTGGAAGAAACGCAGCCAAGGCCGTTGGGTCATAGCCAGATACTTCTGTCAGTATGTTTAGGATAATGTCACTATGGTTGGGGTCTCTCACAAGCCCCAACAGACACAGAATACATTCTTTCAGCACCTATTTAAAAAGAAAAAAAGAAAAAAAGAAGAAAGCTGTGGACGTATTTGTGAATGGTGAATATATACAACAAAAAGAGGCGCTGTACATTGGAGGGCTAGAAGCAGACCGTGAGACTTTGATTCAGTGGAATAGCTTTTCACCCTCACTGACCTCTGCACATAGCTATTTGCTGAGGTCAACAGAAGTTCAGCTCAACATATGGAAGAAGGGTAAGCTGTAGCCTTGAAATATTACAGTTATGCATATATAAGTAAGAAAATACTCCATTGTTAAGAAAAAAAAGGCCCAAAAAAACCTTCAACCCCCTCACCAACATTTCTCTTGCTTTAGGTTCTATACTTACAGGATTAAAACAGCATAGGTCTTAGTCATCCCTAACAATACAGTAAATCAAAGTACTGGTAAAAAAAATATTTTGTGTCCCCCAGGAACTAAACAACCTGACAAGGTTAAGAGTGGGCACAGAGCTAAAAATAAAGGCTAGCTCCTTGCTGCACAGAAAATGCCACGGGCAAGCTGGCATTGCTTATAACAACACAGTTTTCAAGAGGCCAAGGGCTTAGACCTTCAAACATCTCACAGGCAGGACGGAGCACGTTCCACTTCCTACTAAAGGATTCTTTCATACCTGTGCTGCTAAATGTCTACTAACACACCTCTGGGTCAGGGAAACTGAGGGATGTGCATAAATGCATTTCAGAACAGACTGGTGAGACTTTCCACCAACTTCCCATAGCATGGCATTGGGTTCCATATCCTCCCTTGTGCATCTCTTGGCTCAGATACCAATGTCCCAGTGGGGCAGCAGCCCCGGTGTCCCCAGCCAGGACGCAGCAGTGGCACACAGTGGCCTCAGACACATTGGCTCCAGCAGAGCCCCTCCATGGCCACATGGGGTTCTTTGGTCTCTTGCTTCCAAAGGCAGCTCTATTTCATCTGTGACAGCACGTTATGATAAAGCTTCCTCAGCTATTTGGAGGGAGGCATTAACCACTGCTGATTCTTCTTTTAGAAAGGTTTTATAGACTTAATAAATTAGCAAAGCTTTGTCTTATTCAAATGTGCTGTGAATGTTGTGCCATTCTGAGAGCGTGACACATAGTGCCTTAATTAATCTTCACCTCGCTCTTAATCGGTTCCTAACTTATTCTAGCTTTCCTTGATATGTTCATACAATTCTAACAGAAGTGCAATGATGGGAATTGCAATCCAACTGACAGAGGAAGAGCCAAATAGTAGAGTAGACAGTCCCAGTTTATAAAAACGACGACTGCTGGACCACAACGTTTATGTTCTTTATGACCGGATGGAGAATTTGGAATAGAATTAAAGAATGGAATTAATGAAACTCTATGGCAAACCACAGGAAAGCTCTGTTGTGGACTCCAGCTGAGACAGCCACCAGCAGTCAGAGCTCACCAAGCCATCTGAAAGAGATAAACCCCCCAGAAAGAGGTGCAGCACCGAGCAGCTCGTCCACTCACAGCCTTACCCCGAGCTCTTTCCTCCGTGCCATGAGCTGGAGCAGCCGCAGGAGGTGCTGCTGCTCGGATGGCTGCAGGTGGCCCATCAGTGCCAGAAGCTCGGGCAGGCGGTGCGCCATCGGCTGTGGCTGCTTCTCATATAGGGCAGGCAGGACACGCAGCAGCAGCGAGTTCCCTGCCAACAGAGCAGAGGAGAGCATTACTGCACAGCAGTGCTGCGTGGCTGGGGAGCAGCCTGGACCATATGCGTCCACCTGGAAGCAGCAGGACCAGTCATCGGCACAAACCGGGCAGTGTGGAATACACAGGAGGAATCATAGAATGGCCTGGGTGGCAAAGGACCACAATGATCATCTGGTTCCAACCCTCTGCTATATGCAGAGTCACCAACCAGCAGCCAGGCTGCCCAGAGCCACATCCAGCCTGGCCTTGAATGCCTGCAGGGATGGGGCATCCACAGCCTCCTTGGGCAACCTGTGCCAGTGCCACCACTCCCTGAGTTTCTGATTTCTGTGGGCTGGCCCAAGGAGCCCAGTACGTGGCCCAAATGGAGCAAATCACAGCAGGTATAACAATGCATATAAAGTTATTTCCTATTCATTATGATTTTCATTCCCAACACAATACCAGGAGAGGGTTGCTTGCAAGCTTTCAGATTTGGATCATACTCCATTGAGTCCTACACTCAACACTTGTGATTTAAATGGATTTAAAAAAACAAAAAACAAAGAAGGCTAGAAAGCACATAAAAGCTGTATTTTTCCTTCTCTGAGATTCAGACTTTCAAATTAAATAAGCAGCATATGGAAAGAATAATTGGTTATTAAGAGAGCTAAATGTGCATGACAGTAAATTTGAACATAAATAGTTAAGGATGCCATTTCCAGGAATAGAAAGGAGCCAGAGAAAGTCGACTGTAGACAGACTCAGATATGCAAAACCCTCTCTCACACATTTTCTTAAGATGTCTGCGCATAATTCAGTTTGAAGCCCAGGCTCATACCAAAATATATAACTTCACATCGCTGTACATGCCTGCTTCAAATATATTTAAGTCTCACTCGAACAACATATGGAAAACATCTGCCTATTGCAATGTAGCATGGCTTCTTTTTGTACAAGTCCTTAAGGTCTCCTTGAATTTGGTTTCCAATAGGAACTAGCACTCTGGCCTGCTGCTTTTTCTCCCACTTAAACCCAAGCCCTATAATTTTGCAAGAGAAGCAGCTCAGTTCCCAGGTGGCAGAAAGAGGACCTATGTGTCAGGCCTGACCATACCACGCTCATGCCAGATACATGAAGAGCAACCCAAGCTTTGCAACACCACCTCTGAGCCAAGTAGCTGAAATGCAATTCATTGTAGGCTCCAAAAGCACCCAGCTAGAGCCCTTCAGAGTACCTCAGCCCTGGGAGACGTTTCTGCACTGCTCAGGCACTCTCTGCATCTGACCCCAAAGCACTTTGCTGCTCCTAGAGCCGCTGGCTTCTCCCAGGGCCCTGCACACAACCACCACAACTCCAGCCCCACCTCTGTCCCCGGGGCCATGGGCAATTCCTGTCCTGTTCCATGAATGGAGCACAAAGCCAGCTGCAAATGAAGGAGATTTGCTGATGGTTACTCCAGGCAGGTCAGCAGCAGTTCAGTTCTGGCTGCTCTACCCACACCTCCCCCATGCTACAAGTGGGACTGCGCAGTAATTAAGGGGCACGAGTACCACTGTTTTACCATGGGATCAACACTCCTGTGTCACAGAGGTTCTTTTGAAAGTGCCTTTTTAATTTGTATATTCAGCAAAGATTTGATCGGTTCTTTTTCTTAAACTAACCAGAAAAAGTAACCCAAACTAACCAAAAGCAACCAAAAGTAACCAAAAGTAACCAAAAGTAACCAGCAAAGCACCAATTTGCCCAAAGTTCAAATTAAGGTTTTCTAGTTTCTCATTTGAGTTTGAAATTGAACAGTTTTATAATCAAATATACTGAAAATTATTTCCTTCTCTGGATAATGTGTTTGCAGAATTAAGCCTTTTTGGCACTTGCACGTGCTTAGCTTCCACTGGAGGTTTTCTGTCCACGTAGAACAGATGCCTTAAGCTTCACTCACATCTCAATGAAAGATGAAATTCCCTCTGCCCTGGACAAGCAAAGTTCTCAACTGTAAGAGCATGGAGGGAAATTCTTCAGAGACAGACAAGAAGTAGCATCTGAGATGTGCTATTGCCTGTGCTGGGACATCATGGACACCTGGAAACTCAGACTAACTATTCAATTTGAGAAAAGCACCAATTTAAATTTAGCACCAATTTATCGGATGCATCAGAAGGGGGACATAACTCAGCATGACACAACGTGCTGGATTGCAGCCACTTGTACTAAAATACTTGGAACAAAAGTAAATTGGGCATCTTGTCCAGTCACCGTACAACAAACGTTACTGGGTTCACAGTCACAAAGCAGGATGAATGAAAGGCAAGGGCAAACTGCAGGCAACCCCACTGCATTGAAGCCGTATTTCAGTGACCTCACTGATATGGAATTCTTTTTAATTGGATAACCTGTATATACAAACCTGTAAACAACCCAAGCAGAAACCATAATTTGTGTCTGTTCTTTGTATAACTCCAGAAGGGTCACGAAGCACAACTCCATCCCCCACATTTTCATGTCTGCATGTTTCCTGTCAGCTCCCAGCACACCTCAACAGCTGCCAGCCCTTTCCAGCTTCCATATGATTCACCCACACGCAGCCACCACCAACTTTCTACCTGCTCAGAGCTTGGAGGTGACACCCTGCCCATTCCCAAGCAGCTCAGCCTAAACGAAGAGCCTGAAACGTACATTTGCTGTCTGAGAATGGAAAAATGTGACACTCCACTCCTTAATCATCTTCTCTCCCTCTTCCTCCCCTGCTACCATTATCCCCAATGCTTTCCAGATCAGACTTTTCCAGGCGTTCCAGGCAGACCACACACTGGGAATTAGGCAATTTCAGTACAAAGCAATGTACAGTTGGGGACATCCGATGGCTGAGCGCTGCTGGCTGCAAGTCAGGTGGGGCAGAGGCACCAAAAGGCAAAACACAGCCCTGCAGCCCGGGGCCATGCTGCATGCTCACAACCAGTGTACCTGCATGTGCAAAGAGCCACAGAGGTTGGATATTAGGAAAGATTTCTTCTCCAAAAGAGCCAACCACGATGATTCTATGAAAGGCTCTGTGTGCTGCCTATGCTCTGCCCCAGCCCAGCAGCACAGAGCTTGTAGGAGAACGACTCCCATAGCACTCTGTGGGTATGTGGTGAGCAGAGCAGTACAGCAGCACTTGGTCATAGAATGACAGAATGGCTTGGATTGGAAGGGACCTCAAAGATCAGTTAGTTCCAGCCTTCCAAACCCAAGGGACAACTGCTGAGGCCGCATGCACCTCTGCTAACCCTCCCACTCCCGTGCTATCGGCTGCATGCTGGAGGAGCAGGGCTGGCAAGCACTAAGGGAAGCACTGGCCTCTCCTGGAGAGTCTAACCAGAAAGGGAACAACGAATTGCAAATGAGATGCAGCTCTGTTTGCTTTTGTATCCTGTTCTCTGAATATTTTGTGGCCAATATATAATTTGTACCATCAGAGTGCTACCCTTAATCTCAATGCTGGAGTAACCCGAGGCTCATTAAACTGATACACTCTCCAGCACTTAAAAGTGATCAACACCAGCAACAGTAGGACTTGGCACCAGATTAACACCTAACCCCACAGTCTCTCATTTTGTTTTTCTCCATGTTAACAGACACAATCCTAATCGTGCAGTTGCTAACCCGTAGGCTCCCGAAGGAAGAAACTAGACGGAACACATTACCCGAATGGATACAAAGTTGCTATTGCTAATTTGGGCTAGAAAAGTAAAAACCCAACAAGCTGCCTTTATTTTACAAGCTCTCCTTTGCTGCTCAAACTACCAGGGCAGCAGAAGTTTCTAAAGAAAACAGCCCCCAAAGCCACAGCATACAGGTTACACCAGACACACGCACCCAAACCAGCTCCAGGTAGCTGTGTTTTCCTGCCAGCCCCCTCTGTAACCACAGCACATACCAACTGCCAACGGAGTTTGCACAAAGAGCACAGAGCAGCCCAAGTGATGCAGCTCAGGCAGCAGTCCCTCTCCCAGCTCCCACCCAATGCTGCACATTTCTGGCACTCTGCTCCAGGGGAAGCAGCAGCGTGCAGAGCAGCTCTCCCCATCCTTCCTCCCCCTCCCCCCCCCCCCCCACATGCAGACCTGGGGGCTGACATTAAGCAAGCTGCACGCCCCCTGCTCCTCACTGCCAAAACCAACAACCAGAAGTGCTCCTATTACAGCGCTGGCACTCGCAGCGCTCATTCATTCAAGCTGAGACACTCGGAGCATTTATTAGGGGCTGCCCGTGGCTCCTCGCAGTCCCTGCTGCAGTCCCACTCCAGCCCAGCCCCAGCCTGGCTATTTGCAGGAAGCAGCTGCAGAATGCTGCCTGGAGGAGTGCTTTCTCTGCTCACGCTGTTCTGTGTTTTCAGGGCTTCTGCTTCTGTGCTGGATGAAGACGACGACTACGATCTCATGTATGTGAATCTGGATAACGAAATCGAAGGTCCGGTTCTGGGCACTGAGGAATGTAAGTAGATACCATCTACAGCGCAGCGCTGCGTTCTTTGTTGCTTAGCTCTTGTAACAGCCACAAGCATTATTTTAAGAGGAACCACGTGCTTGTAGCAGTGGGTTATTGCAGATGGCAATGCTCGGGTACTGGGATGGCGTGCTGCAGTTTGCTGCGCACTACTTTTCTGTTTTCCTGCAACAGACGGCAGATGCCACTTGGTTTTAGGATTGCTGTACTGAGCACTGCTTTGCCTTCCGCTTTGATACAGACATAAATGCAGGGGCAGGCTGAAGCCTTGCACAGAGGCAGATTTCGGGAAACACCCCTTCTATTTAAACCTACATCCATGTCTTGCCTTGCAGCTGCCTCGTGTGACTGCCAGCGGGAGCACACGGAGTGGGACAAGCTCTTCATCATGCTGGAGAACTCACAGATGAAGGAGAATATGATGCTGCAGGCGCTGGAGGATGGGCTGAAGGCAGACGTGCAGGCAATCAGAGCAGAGCTGAGCCAACTCACCGTTGGCCTCACCGGCACCTTCAGCTCCGTGGTGCAGCAGCTCACCTCCCACGCCTTGGCCCAGCTGGAGCAGGCACTGCAGAGGAAAGGAGACCAACCTGAGGATGCTGAGAGGCTCTGTGAGTTCCAGCAGGGCAAGGTTCTGGAGCAGGTCTTGCAGCTGAGCCACAACGTGTCTGCCAGGCTGGGCCAGCTGGAAAGCTCCTGGCTGAGATGGGCAGAGGGGGAGGCCCAAGAAACAGCTTTCCAGCTCCAGCAGGACAAGCTCAGCCTCAACAGAGAGGACAACCTTCTCTTGAACACCTTATGGAAAGAGCTGCAGCAGACCAGAGCTGAACTGAAGGCATCTCAGAAGTGGGCTGCCCAGCACCTACTGCCAGCAGGTGAGTGCAGTGTGGGGCGCTTCCCTGAGGGCTCTTTGGGGGCCCAAGCAGATGTCCTGTGAATGCTTTCCTCCTCGTAGGGCTCCATAGCAGCCTCATGGGCAGCCCAGAGGCTCTGAGCAGGCTGTAGATACAAGGGAGCAACTCAGTAGGCATTCCTGAGAAAGCAGTTCTGAGCTTCCCAAACATGGGATCAAAGAAAGATTTAATCAAAACCCTCATGCAGGGCAAAGCAGCCACCCAGCCACCAGCCCACCTCTAGCAGCTCTCCTGGATCCCAAAGGGCTGCCAAAGAGCAGCCAAACACACCAAAACTATCCTCCCCTTCTCCCTCAGCTGGTAGCCCCCTCACTCACTCACTCACTGAGCCCTCCTGCCCCCTGGAGCATATTCCTGCTCCTTCCTCCCCCTCCTCGCAGCTCAGAGGACACTGCAGCAGGGCAAAGACCTGCTGACACCCTGCTACCACTACATTCACTTTTTTCCCTCTGGAATATCAGTGAGCAAGCGAGGTGCCTGTAGAATGATGGGCTCACTGCTCAGATTTCCTTGGGGTCCCCTGTGCTCTGTAACAAGACTTGCAGCAGCAGCAGCAGTAGAGCAGGGTATGGCAGAGCAGAGCCCCAGCTGCAGAAAACATGGGCACACACTGTTGTGTGCACAGGACTGTGCAGCTCTGCCAGCCAGGTGACTATGGCTGCATATTTTCTCAGTGCTGCCATATCTTTAATGACTACATTTTACCACAAACAAAAGTTCCTGTACCTTAAAAAACTAAGAAAAACTCCACAAACCTACACTTGCATGGTCCTGCACGTGTGCCAACAGGAAGGAGGAATGCAGTCTCAGCACTGTCAGTGACCACTTAGCAACGCCATCAGCTCTCACACAGCTGAGCAAGGATACAAAGCTGTATTTTAATGGGGAACATGAATGCAGTCTTATGAATACGTTGCTTTCACCCCTTTATATGCTGCAGCATTTTAGTAAACTGCATGTCCTGGGAGCAGACCTTCCAGCATATCCCTTACCCCCATCCCAAGCACATGGATCTTGCCTTCCAGAAGGCATGAGCTCATTCCTTATCTCCCCCCATAGCACAGCCAGCCTTGCACCATTTATTGTGCACTGTAGGAGAGTCAAATCTTGATCAGCATTAGAGACCTCAGCCTCAACACTAGAAACTCAGAGTATTTCCACTAGTTGCAACATGATGTTATAGAAAGCATTCTTACTTTTTACTTTGAAATACACCTTTTAAGCAATTCCAGTGTGTCTCTCTGCCTGGAAGTTCTTTTTCAAGGGAATTTTTAGCAACTGACTTTAATCTTGAACTGCTGCCAGACATCTCTTGAGGGATTTCCTAATCACACTTTTTGTTCTTCAGCGAGGCTGGATTTAATTTTGTTTAGCCCCTGATAACAAAGCCAGAAAGCTTGCTAACTAAAAGCTGCTCTGTGAAAGAGTTCCTTCACAGCATCTTAAAGAGAATCCCCAGCAGTTGCCCCCAAGTCTCTCCAAAAAAAGAGAATCCCAGAACCGTATGGGTTGGAAGGGACCTCTGCAGCTCCCAGCCCCCCAGAGCAGGTCTCCTGCAGGAGGTTATGCAGGAAAGCATCCAGGTGGGTTCTGAACCCTCCTCTGGAGATCCTACCACCTCCCTGGGCAGCCTGTCCAGGGTTCTGTCTCTCTCATGGGAAGGAAGTTCTTTCTCATGTTCAGATGGGACTTCTCACATTCTAAAATCTGCCCCAGGTTTGAGGAAGCAGTCTGAAATAACACAGCAGCACAGCCCTGAAGGACACAGAGAGGCCTTCATTCACTAAAGCAGAAGTTTCCATACATTCAAAACCTCCAGATGCTCTAAGCTAAAGAGGAAACTTACTTGTGGGGGGGGCCTGCTTTTTCCCTATGTAACTTAGAATGCCCACTTGTATTTAAGGACCAGGGAATAGCATATAGGACACCAAGGATGTCTTGTGCTCAGTAATCATCATTCTCTAAGCTTCATGAACTCCTGAGAGCAGCTTAAATTATCTAGTTTCTATTGTAAAATACGGCTGATTGGTGATGGGAGAGGAACTGTTTTAAAACGTTCATATTCTCAGTGCTTAACCAGTGCACAGTTCCTGATGGCCCTACAGACAGGGTCACAAAAGAGAGACCTAAAAGAACCCAAACTCATCACGTGTCTGCCAGCACTCCCTTCTCCTATGTAGCACTGCTCTGGGTTTGGCTCCAGGTTTGGCTCCTGCCCCAGCGCGTTGCATTGCACAGAAGGGATGCTCCCAGCCCTGCTGCTCAGAAGCTGTCGGTGGCATCCAGCCCTGCAGGTTGCTCTGCAGCTGCTCCTGACACAGAGATCCAGCAGCTCCATGCTGCTATCCCAGGAACACCACAGTATCTCAGACTTCCAGAGAGACAGAGCAGCAAACCCATCCACTTACTGTAACGTTGTTGTTCCCATCACATCATGATGAAAGAGGGCACAGAGGCTAAAAAATGACCTCTGTGAGACAGAGCTGTTGCTCCATTCACCTCTCATCACAGACAGGACCCATCTCTATTGGTGACCCATGCAGACTGCAGGGGCAATGCAGCAGGACAGGCAGGCAGCTAACCCATCTGTACGATGTGTACAGGGCAGGAATGTGCTTCTGTGGAGAAGGGAAAGCTGAGCCTTGCTCAAGCAGCACGACTAGCCCCTAGGCTCACTGCCATAAAAACTATGCAGCAAACTCATCCATCAGATCTGACAGCTTCTTCAAAGCATCCTGCAGGTGGGTTCCTCCATTCCATGGGATGAGCTGAGCTCACAGCCCTCTGAAAAGCCCAAAGCGAGTGTGAGCCAAGGGTCCTACCTGTGCACGTACTAACGACTTGTACTTAATGTCCTCTCCCTAATCAACTTTTTCAGGCTATGAAACAGCAATTCTGTTCCCCATGCGCTCCAGAAAGATCTTTGGGAGTGTTCATCCAACAGCTGCGATGACCCTCTCCTCCTTCACCATTTGCATCTGGGTCAAAGCAACGGAGGTTTTGGACAAAACCATCGTCTTCTCCTATGGAACAAAACTCAATCCCTATGAGATTCAGCTGTACCTCAGCCAGCAGTCTGCAGTGCTCACCATAGGTAATGCCCAGCACAAGCTGGCTGCCAGGAATGTGGTGGTTCCTGGGAGGTGGATCCATCTGTGTGGCACCTGGAGCTCAGATAACGGGACCGCATCGCTGTGGGTGGACGGAGCGCAAATGGCCACAGCTGTGGGCATTGCTGACACTCATGTTGTTCCTGATGGAGGAATTCTGCAGATCGGCCAAGAGAAGAACGGCTGCTGTGTTGGAGGAGGGTTTGATGAAGCTTTGGCCTTCTCAGGAAAGTTAACAGGGTTGAACCTGTGGGACAGAGTGCTCAGCACTGAGGAGATAGCAGCGCAGGGCGGAGAGGATGCGTGCAGCTCCCGGGGCAACATTGTGGGCTGGGGAGTCACGGAGATTCTGCCTTACGGAGGAGCCCAGTATGTTTCTTAAGCTCCAGTAAAGCAGTTTCTGAAGCAGAGCACATTTCATTAAGAGCAGAACACCAGTGTACGTACAAGGAACGGAGCTGAAGAAGCCTGTATCTCCCCAGCTCCCAAGGCAGATTAGCACCGCAAATTCACGCAGTGAGATGCTGTGGGGGTGGGATTTGATCTCCGCCTGCTCTCTAGGCAGAACGCTGAAAATACCACATCCAGACTTGACATTGGATAAGCCATTCCTGAGGTCAGACAATCACCGCCTCTCTAACTTATGCTGAAAGCTGGGTGCCACTATGGGTACCGCAGTGCCGCCCGGGGCTCCTGCCCAGACCTGGCAATGCCAAGCAGGGTCTGCACACCTCCCAGCCTTCCCTGGCTATTGCTGCTCACCCTCTGGCATAAGCTGTACAAGGGAAGCCCCATCAGCCAAGAAGCGTGTTGTTTATTAAGTGTTGTTAGTGATCTGTAGGCTACAAATAGAACTAGCTTCTTGTTTAAAGCATTTTTAGTGCCACCGACTGACCCAACACATAGGAATAATATTCACCATCATAATCTGATATGTTTCGAGAAAGTGCAGCTGTATTATACTGTAAATTGACTTTGTCGTAATTTTATTGAGATTATTTTTGTAAAGTTGTTTTGTAAATAAAGATACTTTACTAAACGAAGGCCTTCCTGTGATTCTGTGGTTCACGGTTTTCATCAACCGAAGCTCTAAATATATAGAAAACTGGATTTTTCCCATGTTTTTAAGTGCTCCATTTTAATAGCTAATAGAGAAGAAACAAATATCAAGTCTGGTAGAGATGGAGAGCCCCTCGGAGGGCTGCAGGCCAACACCAGCCAGAGGCAGTGCCTAACACTGCAGTCTGAGAAGTTTCTTGACATTTGTTGCCCCACTCATTGCCGAATGCAACGCTGCTATCCAACCCTTCCTTCCACAATACAGAAGTAGTAAGAAATAAAAGTGATGACGATGGCATTTCCACTTTACTATGCCATTTGGGGGGGGGAGTTGTGCTTTGTGGCTAAAGCCACGTGTTCTGCTTCAGCATTCCAGCCACGCTGTACATTTAAGGGAAAAAGAAATGCTCAGAGAGCTGCAATTTCCACCGCAATAGGAGTTACCTAAACACTCAGCAATGAGCACAACTGAAAGTTCTTACAAAATAAGATGTGCAAATAACCTGAATTATGGGAGAGTGAAAGGTTACCTCTGTTCATCTGCTGACTTCAGAGGAACACTCAAGTTCCCAACACTGTGCAAGCAATGAAGCACTCTCAAGCCCCTTTTCAGCTGCCCTCCATTAAGTGAAAACAAATGTCCCTGGGATGTAGCAGAACCAGCAAAATCCTCACAGATTACCAGCAGTGGTTCCTGGCTGCTTTTCTTGCCATTCCTCATACCTGGGATGCTTTGGTTTTTGGGAAGCCTTTTGCTATCTCCGCACTGCTTTGGCCCATTACCAAACACAACCCAGTCATTCCCACTGACTCAGCTGGAATGCTTTCCAACCACTATTGCTTTGCAGCAACTGTGGATCAGCACAGCTTCCCCATCAGCCAGCAGCTACCTCCATCAGCACCCATCCCCTCCTGCCCTGGCTGAGCTGTATCTGAACAGGCTGCTTGGAAAACACAAAATAAAAGTATTTGGGAGAGCATTTTGCCAGCATTACCAATGCAGAGTGCCCTCCTGCAGCCTGCAGCTCTCCTCTCTGATTATCCACAGCAACATCTGCTGGTGGAATATCATACATACAGGAAGGCCAGCAGTCAGCTGTGGATGTTTGCCACTCTTCTACATTTATGAGTGTACTGTAAAACTCATCACACTCCATGTTTCCATTCATCCCCAGTGGTAATACACAACATAAGCATCTAAATCCAATGCCACAAGCCCTAAAAGAATGATCACTACCAACCCACAAAGCCACAGGGATATCCTGCTCCTGGACCAGTCAGTTTGTACTATCCCACAGCTCATACTTATTGATTGCATTTGTCCTTAAACCAATTAGACTAATTTGTACCATCTTAAGCACCACTTTACTTTCTAGCTCAGGGTATCTCTCCAAATTAAAAAAAAAGCTCATTAAATAAAAAAAGCACAAAATTAATGAATTCAAGGGCTTAACATTTTCACAACGATATTCATGGAATAATCAGACTGCTGTTGGCAATTCTTACTATTACCTGTGCTCGGACAAACAAACTGATTTTCTCCTACAACAGCACTGTATCGCAACTGTGAAATTGACAACGTTGGCCAGACTGGAATTCCTTTTTAGAGCTCTGAATAGTTCTGGTTCCTTTTTAAACCACAGAAGTAAAATGTAAAGAGTTTAGCAGCAGAACCATCTGAAGCTACTGATGTAGGCGAGAGTGCAGCATCACCATAAGGCTTTTACATCTGACACAGGGTGGGATCCATTTCATCCTCATTTCTATTTTGGAGTACTGCCAGCGACACTAATAGAAAGGAGAAGAGCCCACTAACTGCAGCCTCCTATCACAGCTCCTTACTTGCACTCCATTAGCACAGTGCACTAACAGCTACAGAGAGATTTCCTGCCCTGGGGGTCACCTAATCTACAACGAATCTCCCATAGTCCAAAGGGTTCATTAAGTTCACATATTCCCAAGAGGTGTTCCTTGGTTAATTTCTGTTCATTTAGATTGCCTTACTCACTCAATCACACGTTTATGAACGTTTGTATGTTCCATACACACACGTCACAGGGTGGGCTCTGCGACCTAGTATTAAATGTGGAGGTTGGTGGCCCTGCCTATGGTGCAGGGTTGGAGCTTCGTGATCCTTGAGGTCCCTCCCAAACCTATGGGTTGGATCCACGTTCGTACCTTGAAGGACACTTTTGACAATGGCATCTGTGTGATCAGCCAGCAGCTCTGCTTCAGCAATGGCAGCCAGGGAGAGGTAACTTGACATGTTTCTGCACAGCTCCTTATTGCCCCTCTGAAGGAATTTCACCGCCACTGGGACGGCCAGAGCCATCACCGAAGGGCGGCTGTAATTCTGCAAAAACATGAAGAAGCTCTGAAAAATAAGCGGCTGAAGTGAAATAAGGCATCTCCTGCTGATAGGAATTGAAAAATAAAGATCAGAACGACGAGGGGGGGACAGGAAAAGCAAAACAAGGGGTCAATAAAGCTTATGCTTTGGTGGCAGCACTGACAGCAGGCTTCAAAGAAACAGCAAGGAAGGAAATCTAAAACTGCTGCAGCAGGAGATGATTGTACGCACATTTCTGTACTTTGCAAGAGGAGAAAACATGATATTTAGTACACAACATACACATCAACTGCTGCAACATTTTGACCAATTCATTTTGTGTTTAGTCCGTCAGGGAAGACAGCAGAAGCCATGCCCACCAATCCAAACAGAACAGGCTGCTTTCACCCCAACGCACAGCAAACCCCCAGGAGCAATTCCTCCTGCTGGGACCCACTCATGCTGCTCACTGTGCCAGCAGAGCTCAGCCCAGCAGCCAGCCCTGCAGAGTGCAGGCAGTGTGTGCCTGCTGCTGAGAGCTCAGCTTTCTGCCCTTCGTCCTCCCCTACCCCGTTCCCTTGCCCAGCTCTCCAACCCCAGCTGGGGAAAACTTGACCATATCCAACTGCATTACACTGCAAAACAGGACATCAGCATGCTGGATAAACGCACAGGAGCACAGGTCTGCCTTGCATTGGGCCCAGCAGTGGTTATTTCTGCGCTTCTCATCCGTTGTTGTGCTTTTAAGAACTTACAGCAAGGCGTGAACACGGCAGCCACGTGTAGTGACAGCCCACAGCCCTCCAGCATCAGTCACCACGCTCTGCTCAAACTGCAGTCCTGTGACGTGCTTGTGAAGTGAGTGCAAACAGAAAAGCCTTTTTTTTTGAAGGGCAGTGGAGAGGTGAAAAATAACTGATGGACTCTGAAATCTAAAGCATACCTGTCAAATGAAGAAGAGCACACACGAGTGGATGCGCTGGTAGGCTTGCTCACAGGCTAACCATCAATTTTCCTCTGATAATTAAGACTTCCTTTCTTAAATTGCAGCCAATTTCCCTGAGCACCGGGGTCAGCAGAAATTGTTCATATGCGTGGTGCTGAAGAAAGCTATCTTCTGGCCTCACACTGGTGAGGTGGAGGTCAGTCTCTTCTCCCATGCAATAGGTGATAGGACAAAAGAAAATGGCACCAAGATTCGCCAGGGAGGGTCCTTAATCAGTGCTTTTCTCTCATCTTCCCTCACTTTTGAGCATCTTTTTGAAACCAGAATACAACGATTTTGAAAAGAATCCCACAATATGACTATATTTAACTAGAATCTGAAATCACAGGCAACCAGTGGGCCCCAGATGTTACAGAAAGCAACAAAATAGTGAGCAGCAGGGGTAGTCCAGACTGAACACGTGCTCGTTCTGGAGCAGCCCTGAAAAAAATACATTTCAACCCAAGGAAAAAGCAACTCTGTTGTACATATAGCCAACTCTACCTCTGTGAGAGGGATCTGCCCTGGCCATCAGCCTCAGAAGAGCAGGACTGACCCTAATGAAGGCTACAGCTTGCTGCTCAACAAGAACAGAAGAGCGAATTTAAGAGGCTACAAGGACTACAGGGACTGCCACAGCCCCTTTCCATCAGCCCCTATGTAAGATTGGGCTGCAGCAACTCCTGGTGTTGAGGCAGCTTCTTGTGGCAACTGCTGTGTGACTAAAACTGTGTTTCAATGAGAAAAGCCTTCAAAACGAATAGATCCATATGCAGCAGCGTGTTTAAATCAACGTAATGCCTTGTTACATTTTGGATGAGAGATAGCAAGTAGGAGCCAAATTCTGCCTCCAAGTTACACGCTAGGACTGCGTACAGAAAGAATGAGAGGATAAGGATTGGCCCTGTGATGAGTGCTTAAACAGATCTAAAAATTCTGAAGAATGGGATATTTTTTTCCTATAATAAAGATAAAATACTTAGATAAGAAAAGGCTTTAATTCCAACAGAAGAAAGGTTTCATTTGTTCCATTGTAAGTATCAGGGCATGACAGCACACTTAGGAAATTGTGAGGGTGACAATGAAAAACAGATTTTAATAATATGATATAGTACTGTTTGCAAACCTAGGGGACCTCCCTGCTGCTAATATCAACAGAAACACGCTGTGAGATTCAACCCAGCTGTCAGATATTCATTACAACTTCAACTAACCCTCGCGTACCGCATTCAAAACTCAGTTCATGCCTGCCTTTGTGTTTTCTTTCATGCAAAGGAACTTGCTGATAGCAGCTCTGTTTCAGAGAGCAGTAAATGCTTTTATGACTTTCTCATCTCATTTGAGTGAACTCCTTTCTCAAAGCAATCTGTAACAGAGCAATCCCTAAAACATTTGGATAAGGGAACACAGCTGTCGACAGCGCAGACCGAAAGTGAGGACAAGCCATTGCATGCCTCAGTATGGTTTTTAAGGTACTACGAAGACAAGATATGTCTCCAGTCTGGAAAGTTTAAGCTGTGCCCTAGCTGGTGTCCAAACCCAGCTGCTTGCTGCTGTTTTCTTCCTAAAACCCATAGCAATGCACTCCAAAGCAATTGTTTCTCCAAATGATGGTCCTGTGGCTCCCCCTGCAACTCTTACATGTAATGCAAATAGTAAGAATTAAAGGAGCATTAAGATACTGAGACCTGGCTCTAGGCAGGTGCAACATTTCTGAAGATAAGGAAGCTGCAACAGATTTGATTCACTGATATGGATATCACATAATAATACACATTAGCACTGGGGGTCAAATTCTTGGTTTTAAAGTCATGCAGCCACTCTCACACACCCTCAGATAACACAGAGTGCTGCTACCTTTTAGGAGATAAAGCTGAATAGCTGAGGAATGCATGGCACTCCCTCGCCTTCAGCTCCCTCTCACCTGCAAGATGCAGCTCATGATATCAGATGCAATTTTCGCATGCGGCGTGTCCTCGTCTTTGCCAGAAGGCTTCAGATTGTGCTCCAGACACGACTCCCAGAGAGCCACCAGGGCTTTCCCATGCTTCTCTATGGACTCCGTCTCCCTGATGGCAGTGGTGATGCGAGTGATGCAGATTTCCACAACGGCCTGGTCGTTGTCATTGGTTTGGTAGTCCTGGTTGAAATAAAGAGACATGTGCCAAGCACATCTGGGAGCAGACCCTGCTGCATTAACCAGAAGGCATAAAGGTTTTGGGGCTGCCCACTGTTTGCTTGCTTCCACCTTTACAACGGATGCTTATCTTGATTGAACACTGATCACACATGTCATAGACAATATGCTGTTCCAAGTGCTAATGTTCATTACTGCTAAGATAAGAATTATGCTATGACATGATTCTTAATAGGCCGCCCTTCTTGATGGCCTCAAGTTGCACCAGAGGAGATTTAGGTTGGATATCAGGAAAAACTTCTTTACAAAATGGGTTGTTAAGCACTGCAATGGGCTGCCCAGGGAGGTGGTTGAGTCACCACCCCTGAATGTGTTTAAAAACCATCTGGATGTGGTGCTCAGGGACATGATTTAGCAGAGGGTTGTTAGAATTAGGGTAGTGTGGTTAGGTTGTGGTTAGACTTGATGATCTGTAAGGTCTTTTCCAATCTGAGCAATTCCATGATTCTACAAAATATTGAGCTACATGCCTTACAACCACTTGCGTGGGATTTTCCTCCCATGAACACCATAAAAAAATCAAACCAAAACAGTTATATCCACATAGTCACATAAACACTGGGTCCAAATACTTCCCATCATGTTGCCTGATATAAGCACAGTTAGCTTGAATTAGTGTTAACACAATAGGAATAAGAAACAAGTAAATAAACTTCATCACAAAACTGTGTGATCCCCCATAATTACTGGGGCACATCCCACATGGCTAGAGAATGGTAGCACTTAGCAACTTGAAAGGCTGCTGGGAAGAGCGATACCCAGACACAACATCACCATCCCTAAGTCTCACTCATGCTGTTCCACCCTGAAAACTAACAAAGATGAAAGGTGGACCAACGTCATGCCAGAAAATTGCAGTTGTTGCAATATGATCATGTTGCTTGCTGAGTATCTGAGCACTCAGATACTTCCCCTTCCTCCCACAGGCTGGCACGTACCCTAGCCAGAAGTGCATTTGAGGGGTTTGAGGCTCTGATTCAAGTCTCCCATAGAAGATAATCAAGGAACGGATGGGCTGATCATTAAACTGGATGCAACTTGTTCTGTAACCAGACACGAGTTAAAGGCAAAACACAAAGATGAGGGATGGCACGGGGACAAGATACAAGGGGTTGGGCTCTGGCAATGGACTGCTGCCCTTCAGGAGCTCACTAACCACTGTGTAACCTCACGCTTCTCCACAATGGAGCCAGTGGAGCACTGGTGTAAGCACTGCAATGGGCTGCCAGGGAGCTGGTTGAATCACCATCCCTGGATGTGCTTAAAAACCACTTGGATGTGGTGCTCAGGGACACGATTTAGCAGAGGGCTGTTAGTTAGGGTAGTTTGGTTAGGTTGTGGTTGGACTTGATGATCTTTAAGGCCTTTTTCAACCTGAGCAATTCTATTCTATTTTAACCAGTGCCCTGGCAGCAGCCCCCAAGCCTGGAGCCAGTCCCAGACAAAGGAAAGGAAGCAGAACATTTATCTTATATTTCGCTTGACATTCTTGAGTTTAAAATCTTAAATTGTGCACATCCCCATCTTTAACACTTTGTTAATACAATACATTTAATCTCACTAATTACAGGACAGTGTTTCACTTACAGCAGATGAACTAATTGTCCTTATTTGTTCAAGAGCTTCAGAGAGGCTTCCTTCGATTTCAGCATCCTCCAAGGAGAAAAGATCCCCTGCACGTGAAAGGTCCCTTTGTGCCAAAACCAGCCCAAATAAATGGTGCATGGTGGCACTTGCTGCCACTCAGCCAGGCCTCTGCACACACCATGTGCTCGAAGGAGTTAGATGAGGGCAAAACGGAAACAATCCTGTCCATCAGCCATCCATTCAACACGAAGAATAAATCTGCAGCATATTTCAAGACTTCATTCCTCAGCCATAATCTAAAAGTGGGAGAAAAACAAGGAGGAAGAAGTAGTTGATGTACTCACTACCATCCAGTTTAGTGAAGATTTTTAAATGGTACGTAGAGTCAGCATGCAGAACCCTCTGACCTAGAGATGTCCTTAAGCACCTACCATGAATTGCATGCTGAAGGACTTTTGCCCTCAAACACTAACTAGCTAAACGACACAGCTTTTATTAAATAAAAAAAAAGTTTGTCCTCTCAAGGCGGATCACCAGGAAACAAAAAAAGGTTGACTGGGCTAACTGAAACATAGTGCCAACCTCCTTTCTATGGTCAGCAGTAGAGTGGAGCTGGAGCAGGCGTGCTGGGCTGCTTGGTTTTCTGGGTTTGTGTCCTGACTCAAGAAATACGCCATTTGTGAGTTCAAGATAATGACTTTTGTTTAGAAAAAACAGTCACTTTTGATGTCAAAACGATCCCCGCAAACTTTCTGGCTCATGTAAAACAAACATTTGGCTGAGTTGGAGCTATGGACATCTCCTTGGCTGGGGAATGCAACAGAAGACAAGCCAAGCAGGGCCAGGCTCAGCAGGCGCTCACAAAGGACAACAGTCCTGCACTCATGTCCCAGAACTGTGGCGATTAAAGCTTCCTCAGAGGGGACGTTTGACTTAATTACAGGAGAGGTTTGTTGATTTGACTGCCATTTCAGAAGTGTTGTTTGCTATTTGAGGGCTGCCAGGTCTTGCCTCATGTGGACGGGACCCTCTGCTCATCCATTTCAAAGCAAGAGTTTTCATGGCCAACCTCAGACTCCTGTTCCAAGGAAGGGACAGAGTCCCTTGGGCCCAGAACACCTTGTGTGGACATTGCAAAGACAGGTCCAAATGTCTGCACGCAGAGAATACCTGTCCTTGAGCCTCCAAGAGGCTGCATGACAGCTCTACTGGTGGGAGCAGGACAAGGATGGTCCCTCAGCTCCAGTCTGCAGTGCATTCTCCTATCCTTTCCCACCAACACCATGCAATTTTTAAGTAAGTAAAACAACCTTTTTCCATCAAGTTCCTGAACTTTCACTACAGACAAAAGCACAACACTCTTCCCAAGTACAGCAAACAGTCTGTGTTTGAGCTTTAGAAATGGCCCCATCAGTATGACCTCCTTTTTCACTCAGGTTTGCACTAGATGAACCTGCTGGAGGTGTCAAGAACCAACAGGCAGCTCTGGGCACACGCATTCATCAGCCAGGCACTGCCAAACTCGAGACCATGCACTAGAACACAAACATTTTGCCAAAAAGGCAACAATCCCCTCTTTCTTCATTTATTCGCAAAAAGTATTTCCTGATTTCAAGGATAGCAAGAGATTCTCCAAGCATGCTTCCAGACTGGGAGACTGGGCCCATCATAGTCATACTCAGCAATTCTCAACTTAAAAAATAAAACATCAAAAAGCTACAAACTTTTTTTAAATTATTACTATTATTATTTTTTTTTTTACCTGCTCACAACTCCACAACGGCATCCTCAGCGATGTCTATGGGTGCAAAGTTTGCATTCTTTGAAACAAAGCCTATTTGCTTTGCTCTCCTGCGACTGTGGGCAACATCCAAGGGCACGGGTGGCAAGCAGGGAATCTGGTGGCAGGCAGTGAACCCGAAGCTGTTAATTGCAGTGCCAGGAGTAAAGCATCTCAGGAATGCAGACTAAAGCAGCCTAAAAGTTACCAGCGGCCCCATCAGGTGACTACAGGCACCATAACGCAGAGGGGCCTTATCTTTGAATGAAACTCTGTTTCTGGGACAAAATACAAAGCCTATTCCACTTGAGTGCAGTTGTTTTTAATAGAGAAAACAGAACTCTCTGTGTTAGTGGAAAGCTATCCTTGCCTGGGAAGAAGGTAAAAAAGCCCTCGGTAAGCTCGCACCGTTTGTTCACTTGTTCTTTTCCTTTGCTGCACAGGAGATTGTCTTTCCAAAGAAAAAATGCTGTCATTCTACAACACTTCCCATGAATATAAAAGAGGGTCTGAAGTTTGCTTTGGCTTCTAACGTTGCATTCAGAAGTAGCACAACAAAATCTGCTCACAGAATTATTAAAATTCAGGACTGGAGACCCATTGAATCTTTTCTTTGAGCTGCAACACTGAAAACACGGCCACCCCTCCTTGGCCTTCTGCAGATGACACCTTACCTGCTGCTGTTATACACACGACACATCTTGTAAAGCATTTTGTTGTTTTGTTTGGGTTCTAAGAAAGAGGCCTGTTGGACTACTAAACTCAGAGCATGGTTTGTGAGGTGCCTCATCAGTTTGACTTCCCATCACCTATCAGCATCATCTTGTTCAGACAGACAGACAGACATCTCTGTCAGGGCAGCATCTGAGACGGGCACCACGCACTCCATCAAGAGGAAACAGGTCGAAGATGCTGCCAAAGTTCCCGACTCCCACACAGATCCCCATCAGCTCAGAGCCTGCAGGGTTAGCAGCAGGGATCTGCCCCTTCATGTGGTCACAACATGGGAACAAAGCGCTGACTTTGGCTCTCATCTCAACCTTCAGGTCATCACTATGCAAAAAGTGAGACTCAGCACATCACACAGGGCATTCCACTCATTTGGGGTGCACTCCCACATCAAAAGCAAAACTTGGAGATTTTTCTGCACCTAGATTCTCTTTTCTTAACAAACTGAGAGTTCCCGGGGACCTTGAAGCTGCTCCCCACCAAGGTGAGCCTGGTAACTTGCTGGAGGCACAGCATTCTTACCAAAGTTCCTTATCAGAAGCATTCAGAATAAAAGCTAGCCTGACAGGTTCAGAGCTTAAAGCAATTGAATCGGTCTGTTTGCAAAATAATTCACCCAATAATAGAAGATTAACAACAAAAATTCCACATGAAATGACAATTCGGACCTAAGGGCATGCGAGAGCCAATTGAACTCTAAGCAAAAAAGCTGAGCCTTGAATTTCATCAGAAATTTGGGTTTCGCAGAAGGATATTAGAAGGACAAAATACAATTAAACTGTGCTATCCCACTAAAAATAAAAGGGCAAGAATTGTGCTGTGGTATTTTTGATTCACTGTACATGAAGCAACACACACGAGAGGAAGGTGCTCTCAGGATTTTCCCTGAAGAAAGGGACATCCATCACAGGGCTGGGAGGCCAGCAGCCTTGATGGCCCATAGCAATCCCAGGCACATCACAACCTAATGCTTCACCTATTCTATCCATTAAACATAAAGAAATACATCGATAGAATTGATGTCCTTACCTCACAGATGTGCTGCCATGCTCTGCAGACTGGATGGCACGAAGTGCTTGGGATGCCTTGGATGGAAGATGCAAAAGCAAACCAGTATCAGTAACTCAGTGCCTTTTCAGCAGTCTGTGTGCAGACAGTAAAATATATTCTGCATGATACCACCAGGAGTAAGACTCACTGGGGTTAGTATTTAGGATATGGTCTTACTTTTAAGAAATAAATATGAAGCAAAACCCAAAGTCCACTCAAATGGGACCACAGATCTAGTGAACTCTGCAGGAGTTTGATGTTATTCACACACACGGATGGAACAAAGAGAGGTTTCTGTTTCCATTCTCTCTGAGGGTGGGGACAAATGATTTCAACTAGTGCATATTTCATTTTATTTCACTTCTCTGTGAACAGGAGGTGGACTGCAATCACTGTCAAAGCAGACTTCCATTCTGTATGTACAACAGCACTCCCTTCTCTTGAAATTCTTCTCCCCAGCTCACTCCTAATTCCACAGAATAGATTTTTCCTGTATGTCTCAATTACAGAACCACTACTTCCAGGACTGATGGATATTTCCTTCTCCATGTGCATCCATGCAGGAAAAAAAAATAAGGCCTGGATACATTTCCTGTTAATTTTTGGCCTGAAACTTTCCCAAGAATATTCACACACATAATTTAGGGACAGAATATTGCAAGATATTTTGGACAACTCCTCTCCCCTGTGCGCTACACCAATAATTCAGTTTATTTTTGTGTTGGAAACACATTGAACTTCCTAAAAAAAAAAAAGCACTCAAACTTTAAATAAAGTTCTCACATTTTTCAGTGAAAGAGAAGGATTAGAGATGATTTTGAAAGAGCATCATTTACACACAGGGTGAACAGAGCACGGCAGTTCCCATGGGGTCAGCTGCATGCATTTAAACTCTTTCCACAAGACCACCATTGTTTGCTGGGAGCCCCTCTGCTTTTTGCTGCCATGACAGGTTTCCACACTTCATGTCGCTTGGAAATCCTGAGCTGAGCTGCACCAGATGATGAAACAAGGAATCACAAAGTCTACTAATTACACTATGCTTGATTTCTTTTTTCCTGCCTTGTTGCATGCTGGGGAGCTGTGAGTTGTCCCAGACATCCAGCTTTAATGAAAAAGGAAGCAACTGTAAAAGAAGGGGAGGCAGCATGCTTTGAGATGCATCTCTTCTAACAGAGCAGCTGTTGGGCAGCAGCCCATCCTCGTGCAGCACTCCTAGGCATGCACATATTCTCTCCTGTGATAAACAGACTGAACAGGGAGGATTTATTTATTGGTCAGGTGCTGCTTTCAGCAAGCCAGACCTCACAGATCTTGGACGAAACTTTGGGTGCAAGAACAAAACTGATGCAGAGTGGAAAGAATGCACCTACATGGTCATTAACTCACACTTGTGCAAACACTTGCTAACTCCACAAAAACACCTACACTTCTTTTTACGTGTCTACTTGGTAACTTATGCACCATGGAGACAATTTTCTGCATCTGAGGGAGGCAGCAGCTCAAGGCTCTCTGAATTCCCTTCTGGAAATGAAAGCAGGAGCAGAGCAAGGAAGGGATTCACAATCCCTGTCCCTTAAGCTCTCCTGCAGTCACTGAACAACCACCACCTGCCCTGAAGTTCCTCCCAGGCACAGAGCAATCCACTCTGATTTCTCTTCAGTGCATGAATCAACGCGGCCAACACCTTTCCCCATCTGCATTCCCAAAGTTCCCCAATGTGAGGCAATAACAGAGGCAGAATGCCTTCTGAGAGTGAGGGGGAAAGCGAAATGCATTCAGAGCCCAAAATGAACCACTGTCACTGTAGGACTAACACACAGACCATGGCACACCACGACACGCAGGCACTGCTTTTTCCTCTCTCGAGGAAACTCTAAGCTCATTTACAGCCCATTTTGCACAAACATTACTGCAATACAGTTATGCACACAATAACCACAGCTTTGCATTCACAGAAATCCCAGTAACAGCCGCACTATTAAATACCACATTTCATAAACTCTCAGACATCTCTTCCATTATTTAATATTTGGATGTGCTGCTCAACTTCTTTCCATGCAGCAATTTATTCATTATTGAAAACGTTTCATGAATGCATATTCAAGTTAGTTATTCATACCTCTCAGAAGAGAAACCTCGGAAAAACATTAATAATTGAAGGCAAATTGTCGGTCTTTAGAGAAATTCTGATAAAATCCATTAGGGCTGTCAGTTCCCCTTCCATCCCCCGGTCTCTGGTATGTGAGGCTGCTGGCGCGGGCGCAGCCTTGTCAAACCAACCGTACAGTCTATTCAGTTACCCTGGAGTTGTCATGTGGAATCAAGCAAACAAATATCTTCTCTCCGTTCTCCCCAACTCCAGAACTCAAAAACAGATCAGAACAAATTCTTCACAAAGATTAACTGCTGCAGCAGCTTGAGTAAAAATGCTCGGAGCTTTGATATGGAATTGGAATTAGTTAGGAGGATTTATCAACAGCCAGTGGTTACATTCAGTTAATTAATAACCTGCTAAGAGCAACGAGGAAATTGCAGAAGTTAATGTAAGTTACGGGGCCTCTTGTCAGGAGCCAGTGGGAAGGTCGGCCTTGTTTGGTGTCTTTGGAAGGACACCAACCAAAGAAAATTCGGGAAGAAGCAGGGCATCTGGTAGGAAATGCATCCCTTCAGGTGGCATTGGGTGCATCACACCCACCCCCAGCACTGCAGACAAAGCCACCCATGTGAGAGCAGTGCCCAGGACCTACCCAAACACCTCTACAGCTTGCCAGCTGCTCTGGAGGAATCACATCTAAATCACTCTGGCAGCATTTTGTACGCAAGAAAACGTGCTTTCCCTCCACTTTAAGCATATCTAGATACTCTTCCCCTTAACCTTCTCTCAATAAGTAAATTTCAGATTTCCAACAAATCAGCAGTAACTAAATCCTACCCTACACGTAGCGCAGAACCAACGCAGGGCGATGCCCTCCCCTGGCAGAACACAGGAGCAAACCCACACTGGGTTGTCCCAGCACTGACATTATTCTAATAACAGCCAAAGCAATAAGAAATGAGCCAACTTGGTGCAGCAAAGGGTAAGGTCAGGCACTCCTAGCCAGCTACTGGAAGAAAAGAGACAGCCTGCCCAAACAGAAGGAGGAGGCACTCTTGCACCATTCTTCTTAGGGCTTTTGTCCCTTTACAGCACAGTGAGAATTTAGAAATCATAGATAAAAGAACTCTTCTCCACAGAAGAAGCATTCAGTCATAGAAGTTTTCAATTTTAACAGTAAATGTGCTCAGAATAGCTTTTTTTTTCCCCTCCAGATCATTCCAGCATTATCTCCACAACCAAATCAAAACTTAATGGTGGGTGAACACAACATGCCTTTAACAATGCTAAGAGATTATGTAGAAGAATGTGATTGCATATTCTCCACATCTTCCCTCTAAGCCAGCGTGCACATGAAACACATTTCTTCTTGTCTCTAGGCCTAGAAGAGTGTAAAAGAGGACCTTGGATTTTACTTCTGCATCCAATTCAATTTAAGTCTCAGCACAGTGTGAACTAACGGGTTGATTCCTTCACTCACCGCAAACCCACTTTCAATTTCAGAGGGCTGGAGCACCTCTCTTATGAAGAAAGGTTGAGAGAACTGGGATTGTTTAGTTTGGAGAAGAGAAGGCTGTGGGGAGACCTCATTGTGGCCTTTCAATATTTGAAAGGAACGTATAAACGGGAGGAATTACACCTATTTACAAGGGTGGATAGCGATAGGACAAGGGGGAACGGTTTTAAACTGCAACACGGGAGGTTTAGGTTAGATATTAGGAGGAAGTTTTTCACACAGAGGGTGGTGAGGCACTGGAACAGGTTGCCCAAGGAGGCTGTGGATGCCCCATCCCTGCAGGCATTCAAGGCCAGGCTGGATGTGGCTCTGGGCAGCCTGGGCTGCTGGTTGATGACCTGCACACAGCAGGGGGTTCGGACTGGATGAGCATTGTGCTCCTTTGCAACCCAGGCCATGCTATAATTCTCATAACAACCAAAGTAACACACCCCCCAGCATTGAAAAATCTCTTCAATTTTTATTCAGAAGTAAAGCAGAAGCACAAGCTGGTTTTATGCTTACTCAAACTGCAGTCACAACTGATCACAGTCCCAGGAAGGCTTATGTGAAAAGGATGAGCGTTGATCCTCTTCTCAGACCATCCATTCTCAGTGTTGAGAGGTGCACGGCAGTGAGGGGTCCTGCACAGAATACATCTTCCTCTGCAGTGAGTGTTCTCTGCTCCCAGAATCATCTGCAGCAGAAACAAAACCAGCAAAGACAGCAGGCTGGGGAATGCAAGGCAAAGGAAAGATCGAGTGTGAGAGACCCAAACGAGCTTTGAAAAGAAGACTGATGGCGTTACTGTGGGGAAAGACAGAGTGATGTGGCACTTCCCCAGCTACGGGCTTCAATCCCTTGCAATCTGTCTATTTGCTGCAGGGCTTTGCCACGCTAACCTCACCCTTTACAACCCTAACATATTCATACCTTAATTCTTCTCCTTTTCCACTAATGGGCTCATTGCTATGCACCATTAATACCGCCAAGATGAGGAAACTTTCGCTGATGCAAGATGGCACAGAATGGAATCTAGCAGGATCCTGACCCAAGCCACCCACTGCAGCCCTCTTGAAAGCTCCTTGACTTCCCTCTTGCTGTTTATAAAACAAATAACCCACTACACAAAGAGCACAAATTACCACTGAACCGGAATATGCTTGGAAAGACAGATGAAATTAGAGACAGCAAAGAGCATCTGAGCAACCCACGACTCCAAAGCACATAACGCACATATTAAGCAACGTGCTGCAATAAAGCAAGAAGTTTTCACGTCCATTTCGCCATCTGGGAAAGGAAAATTGAGTTTATGAAAAGAGTTCTTCCCATCCTAGAAAAAGCTCGGATTGAACCCTCATAATAGCTGTGATTAATTTGTGCCCTTCTTGAACAAAGCCCTGACAATAATGTATTTTGCTAGACTTCTTTAAATAAACTTCTTGTTAGGAAAGAAAGATGCTATTGTTCTCCCCCTGACTAATTGGTGAAGAGAAACAGAAGATTTCGTATTCATAGCACTTAGCCTAAATGAGTCATGCTATCTTCTACTCAGACAAAGCAGTTTAATTTTAATAACTACGATGCTGACAGCTACAATACTGTTCTTGCAGAAGTTTGCTTGTAAATAATTAACAATTGTTGTATAATGACAGTGGTTTTTTTGATAGCTCTATTAATTTCACAGTCAAGCTGGAGTCTCTTTAATTTAGAGTATTCATAAAAATCCACACGCACCAGCAAACCAATGACATAAAAGGCCCATGGAAAAAACCCCACAGATGTCCTCTGAGGAAGAAACATTTATCCCCAGGAGTAAGAAAGAGCCAATAAAAAGCATACTGACCTTAACTAAGCAACTCTTATTAGAAGATTTTATACCTTTGTTCCCCAGCAGGTATTTCCTCAAGTTTCCTTCTCCCTGTTTGCTGTCCCAGATAAAGGAGTGAATAATGATGCAGGCATTTATGAAGCAATCGTTGGTGTAAGCTGGACTGGCTTATGAGAAGTATTTCTGGGCCATACTGAACACTACAGCCCAATAATCAGAGCACAAAATGAGGCAATTACACCAAAGTGGAACGTTCAGGATTGAAAACTCTCCTGCTAAATAAAAGTAGGCATCAACCTAATACTTCTATCAAATTCCATCCATACATACATGCACTCACCCTCCCACATTCACATTCTGCTAGTCAATTAGTGTACTTTCATTACCTGCCTGCATCATTTTCCACTTGAACTGCATCTTCTACTTCAGGCATCTATTTACACTCACGTTGTTCCCACATACATGGCTTTCCTGATTGAGCTGCACAGTTTATGAACCGTGTTAATTGAGCCACATAATTCCACTGCTGAGTTTTATACACTGCACCAGGCAGCACATGCAGTGCTGGAGCAGTGCCACTGCACTATGAGCCCTGCAAGCTGAGAAGTCCTTTAACACTGCTGCTGCTGCTGCTGCATTTTTCACTTCCACATTCTTTTCCCTACTTTCCCACCTGAAAGGATGGAAATCTACAGTTGGCTTAAGCAAAGGTCTTCCTAAAGGTAGCCAAGAAAATGAATCAAACTGCTGATGGTGGCCCAAGCAACCCTTGGAGAAGAAGTTCAGGAAAACTTACCTAAAGAGAGCAAAAGCAGCTGCTCCCACAGAGAAGAAATTCTGCCTGACTGCAATGGACTGTTTCAATAGGCACTCATGCTTTGTTTCTGGTAGAGAGCCAGAGGCCTTTAAAAGAGCCCTAGAAGCAGGCAGTAAAGGTATTAGTGATAAGAAAGCAGGAGGACATGCTGTCCTCAGCTGCCTCGAGTTAAGAGCTCGTGATCAGGGCATGTCTGCTGCAGAGATACAGCGCCTGGAACCGAGATGGATCTGCACCTGCACAGCATCCTTACAACCCTCATTCACCTTATAGCTAACAGTGATTATCCTCTGAGGCTGATAGCTCATCTGTGCCATAGATGCACATTTAAAGTTACTACAGGCATTTAAGCTAACCTTCAAGGAACACAGCATGCCTTGGTGCAATGAGCTCCTGCTTTTCCTGTGAGCAGCTCCTCCTCTTGGCACTGGGCAGATGCCACAGTAAGAGTCAGTATTTAAACAGCACTGAAACATCTGCTCAGGGTGCTTCAGAAGCTTACCTCTGCTAATTCTATACCTCACAGATGAGCACAGTGCTTTGAAAAACAGGGACATATGGAACAGTGCTTCCATCAGGAGCTCTAATGGCAGTAATGGCATCAGAGCTAAGCAGCAGCAGTTGTTTTGTAACTCAGGGAAACCAGTCAACAATAACCTCAAGGGAGAGGTTATTTAAATTAATTAATACCACCGCTGGTATGCCTATGTGAATTGCTTTCCCAAACATAATTTTGTTATCCAGATTTGCAGAGGAATGTCTCTGTGTGGAGTGAGCATGAAACCATGTACATGTAGGGTTGGAAAGGCCTCAAGAGGTGAGGTAAGCCACCTCATTATGTTGAGCAGGAGCCATCAGGTCTAGGCACACCCAATATTTTCTGTTCTGTTCTTGCTTCCCTGAGAGAAGTGCTTCAACACCTCGTAATTAGGAACTGCCTGGTAGCAAAACACTCCTTCCAATTCCGTTACAGATGACAAAAGATTGCTGCTTTGTTACCCAGCCTGATTTGGATGTTGTGTTGAGGGACATGGTTTAGTGGGAGCTATCGGAAATGGGTGAACGGTTGGACTGGATGAGCTTTTAGGTCTTTTCCAATCTTGGTGATTCTATGAGTCTATGATTTTTGCTCTCTCAAATGTCTCTGGTGGACCAAACACCCCCTGTAGCTGCTCAGCAGCCTCAGCTTTTCCTGCCCCCATTCCTGAAGCTCTGGGTTCTCATTTGTCCTGTACAGTAACACTGAAAGTTCGTTTCTCACATCTCATCAACAGAAGAGATCTGTGCAACTTTCCTGAATATCTTCAATTTCATTAGAGTCATTTCACCTTAAAAATTACAAGATCTAGTTCAAATTTACAGTCTTGGAGTACCTTCACTCACGCCAGGCTGTACACTGAGAAAGGGATTAATGTCACACACATATACAGACCAAAGACTTTATTTTAATGGCAAGGTAACAAAGAAATCCACTTAATGACAAGTTCTCGGGCTAATGTATTATTCATTTTGTTATGTGTCAGTAGAACAAAATTGTATCCATAAATATATAATGCTGTACATATCTCTTCTGCGTAGTTTACATTTATGGGATAATTGCCTGTCTATCAGTACATTGTCCTATCTTTATTCACTTTTTCACTGCTCAGGTCCCTCGAGGCCTGCTACTGCTCTCAGGACCTTGGCACAAACCTTTCCCAGCGCCGTGCTCCTCTCACAGTGTTATTATTTTACCCCCTCCATCCACCCATGTGATCTCTGCACTTGCTGCCCTTGCACGGCCCCAGGCTCACACCCAGCTTTTGGGGTACACGCTGTGTGGGTTCCTTGCATGGAGAATGCCTTTCCCTGGGTGGCACCAGGCCTGAGCCTTGCTGCTCCCTGTGTCCTTTCAGAGCCAGCTGTGGGCTGAGGAGCAGAAAGGAGGGATGTGGTCAGTGGGCACGGTGAGGTTGGGTTGGACTTGCTGACCTTAGAGCTCTTTTCCAGTCTTAATGATTCTGTGAAGCACAGCAGACCCCAGCCACCCCACCCTGTCATAACCGATGCCATACGGGCATCTCAGCCAAAAGCTTTTGAGGCGTGGAACAGAACCCATCTCTTCCCCAAGCCCGTGTCCTACTGGAGACATGCACAAAGCTGCACGCCTTCACCACTCAGCAGCAGATGAGCCTCATGGACACAAATGGGACTTCCTCAGTGCCAGGCAAGCACTGCTCAGCTGCCAAAGCCAACACGGAGCCATGGTTTGAGCAGCAATTAAACCAGCACAATGCAGACACTGAGCTTTGCTTTAATCATCCTCCCAACCCTGTGTTAATTAGCTAGACAGCAGTAACTACAGAAACAATGAGAATAGAAGCAAAATTGTATTAAAAATTCAGTAAATTATACAACATTCCTTCCTATCAAAATACTTTAAAATATTCATGCTTGAAAGTACATATCCCACAAAGACCCCAGGACTGTTCATTAGATTGCTTCCTTTCTTGGATCCTTAATTGCTGTTACCAATGAAGTGAAGGGGCAGTGCTGGCAGCAACAGCAGGTGTGGGGGCACTGCAAAGATATTACTGGTTACAGATTCTTTGGAGTAGAAGGGCTGACATGGATATCAGCCAAAAAAAGTTGTTCTTCCCCTGACGGAGCCTTTTTTTGGGTGCCATATCTATTAGGATTATGAATGTCATCGTTATTTATTTAATCTCACTTTTACATCTACACACAGGGCTTTCAACAGCACGGTCTGAGAGCTGGAAATCTATGTCAGAAGTCCAGTGGATGTACAGCCTGGGCACCAAAAGCCTAGATTTTGGAATTCAATGGGGAGTATACAGGCCCTTCCAGCTGTGCTCTGCTGCCATATCTGGTGGACTGAATGACCCCCAAAGGTCCACGCCAACCCCTACAATTCCACGATTACTGCCATGCAGTGGGCGCTGCTGCCAGGCCTGCAGCCGGCACTTCCACAGCTCCAATGCGGATTTCCCCCACTTTTTAGACGCCCAGGAGCTCCAGTCAGCCCAGCGCACCGCGCCGCTGTACAAACAGGAGCACAGCCCAAACAAACCCTCGGCTCTCGAGCGACCGCTCCGAGAGGGACGCGCTCAGCGGGCAGGGCGCCTGGCCGGGACTCGAGGGTGGCGGAGGTCCTTCCCAGCTTGAACCGCGCAGCGCCGCTCCGTGCCGCCTGCAGAGGGCGCTCCGCTCCCACCGCTGCGGCGCTGAGGGCGGGGCGTGCGGGCGGCTCCGTAAGGGTGCGGGGTGGTGGAGTGCGGTGCGGGGATTTCCATCCCTTTTTCCCCGCAGGGTTCGGGCCGGCGGAGCAGCAGCGGCAGCAGCAGCAGCAGCAGCAGCAGCTCAGGGCAGCTCAGGGCAGCTCAGGGCAGGTCGGTGTGTGCCGCGCTCGCGTGCTCGCTTCCCTCCTCGGTGCCGAGCGGGAGCCGCCATGGCCGGGCAGCCCCTCCGCGCAGCTCCGCTCCCCCCGCAGCCCCTCTCCCCGGACGGAGCTGCGCTGGATGCGCTGGGAGGTGGCCGTCTGCCGGGCTCCTCTTTGGAACTGCTCTTCTTGATATCTGCTTCTCGTTTTCTTTTCTTTAGTGAGTGAGAAGCGTTCTCGGGATCCGCGCTGGGTGCGGTCCGGCCGTCCTCAGCCCTCGGGAGGAGGCGTTCGAGGTGGGAAAGCAGCTGGCAGCCGGGAGGAGCGGGAGGGTTTCGGGCTGGGAGCGCTCCCAGGAGCTTGGAAATACCCCCTGGGCTCAGTGTTGGTTCTAATTTTTATCCCCCAGGAATAATGAAACAGCCAGGCCATGCTGGATGGGGCTGTGAGTAACCTGGGGCAGGGGGAGGCGTCTCAGCCTCAGCCTGCAGCGGCGGGTTGGAGCTGCGCAATCCTGAAGGTTCCAACCCAACCCGTTCTATGAGTAGCACACAACTGAACGAGCATCCCTCCGAGTTCCAGGCTGTCCCAGAGTCTGCAGCACTGCTCACAGTGTGACGTCCTGAGGGTGGTGAGGCTCTGGAACAGGTTGCCCAAGGAGGCTGTGGATGCCCCATCCCTGCAGGCATTCAAGGCCAGGCTGGATGTGGCTCTGGGCAGCCTGGGCTGCTGGTTGGTGACCTGCACACAGCAGGGGGTTGGAGCTGGATGAACACTGTGCTCCTTTTCAACCCAGGCCATTCTGTGATCCTATGATCCTGCAGCAGTTGGCTGTGCCATGGCCCCAGGGATGGCTGGACCTCTTGGTGCTGTGGGGCTGGACTTAAAGAGGGGGATTTCACTTCTCAGCCATTACATGTTAGGGTGAAGTTGCAGGCAGGGGATTGTTAAGGCCCAGATTTATTATAGAAATGTAACTCACCGTTTTGTGTTGTTTTCCTTTCTCATCGACTCAGAGAGAAACATTGTACCAATCTCATTCTGTTTGCAGGTGAAAAGCATTTCATGCGACAGAAGAGAGGTGGTCAGTCTTGTTTAAATGTTGAGGAAGAACTGAAGTGAAGGAGAATCCATTCGCATTGGTTCAGCTCAAACACCGTGCTACTTTTGCACTGTGAGCATAGATATGCAGTGTGTCAGTTCCAAATGATGTGGGTCTCTTGGTCTGGCACACCTAATCCAGACATAAACTAACTGGAGCTGCCAACAATACTGACCACATTGCCTTTCCCTTCCAGCAGTGGAAAAGGACTTCAGGTTTGTGTCAGACACACTGAGGTTTACAGCATCCAGTTGTTCTGAGCTGGGGTTGGATTCTTTGTTTGGGTGATAGGGTTCTTTTTGGGACACTGAAGTTTTAAGAACAACAGCCAAAAATAAAGCAGTTAGTGTTAATAAGGCCAAAAAGGGAGATACAAGGAGTCCCCATCTGGGAAGCAGTGGTGGCCTGGCTGAGTCCCAGCTCCCACTGCTTCTGAAAGCATTCTGTTTCCTATCCTAGCTGCAGAGTTTTGGAGCAGAGAGCAGCAGGAGTTCAGATGACTGAGCCCAAATTGCCACATTGCTCTTCTTAGCCCACAGTCCATGTTCCTTGAGTTTTTGTATGCACTAATCAGACTAGAATGAAGATACTCAGGTGTAGTTTTAAATACCATGTTCAACCTTGGTTTTCTTTCTTTTGTTTTTGGTCTCCTATATTTTGGATATATTGAAATGGACACTTGGGATGAAGTTGAAGTGCAGTGGTATCTAATAAAACGTGTGGTTTGTGTCTCAGTGCTTACAGTTGGTTGACAGTTCATGGCATAAGGCCTGCCCAGCAGTATGTGTGCTCTGATGCTTCTGCCTTCTTAGTGGATGCTGACACCCTGTTCAGCTGCAGAGTGCCAGAATGGGAAGCTTACCTGCAGTGCTGCTCACAGATTAGTTTTAACTTTAAAAATTATTTGCAAAGATGACTGCAGAGCCCAGTGACTTCACCAGCACGAGCTGAATATCTCCTACAGGTGAATTCTCAGCATATGAAAACGTGTTTGTTTTTATTGTCTGTGTGGTTTAGGTCCCATGATGATAGTTCCCTTGAGAGGCAGCCAGCTTCTGCAGAAAACTTGTTCCAGCACTGAGCGCTGCAGATACCTGAAGTCTGAAAAGAGAAGGAAAAAAGCCAATTTCTCACTGTCTAGCCAAGTGAGTCCTTTCATTTTCTTGTTGTTTGGGGACTTTTTGGGGGTGGGTTTGAGCTGGGATTACCTTTATTTACTTTGTGAATGTTTACATAGTAAATACTTTCCCAATTTCCTCAGCTGTCTGGCAGGGTACTGGATCCCTGACTGGTCTGATGGGCTACTTAGATGCAGGCAGGCATAAGAGCTTGTCTGCAATCTGAGCATTAAGGGATTTCCTTTTCATAACATTAGCTGGAAGTGAATTACCTGGAACTCAGCACTGCGTTTGTGTTTTGTAAGTGTGAATCATAGAATCACAGAATCCTAGAATGGCCTGGGTTGCAAAGGAGCTCAATGCTCATCAGTTCCAACCCCTGCTGCGTGCAGGTCGCCAACCAGCAGCCCAGGCTGCCCAGAGCCACATCCAGCCTGGCCTTGAATGCCTGCAGGGATGGGGCATCCACAGCCTCCTTGGGCAAGGGGAGGGTGGAGTGTTCATTAAAGAGAGCATCCTTACTTCACTGGAATAATGCTAAACATGAAAATCAGAGTTTTGATATAAGTACAAATCTTGGTTTTTGTTTACTTTACCCTGTAGCAGTTTTCTGAGCCCTGAGCGTAACTGGCAATCTCTGCCTAACATGAGCTCAGATTAAAGTGGTGCAGTGGTATAAATCCAGAGCATTGCAAATAGTTGTCAGGCATTAATGAATGTGATGGACCACAAAGCATCTCTTCTTTCTTGGAAGTCCGACATCTTTTCTGTAAGCAATAAATAACAGCAAGCATCTTATGGTTAACATCATATTCACACTGGCTGTATTTGTTTTGTTGAATTTGGCAGGTTTGTTTATGAGTTTGGGAATAACTGTGATCTCAAGCATCCGTCTGCATGCAGAGGGTTTTCACAGCAGATATTCAGCTTTGGTAAACGGATTTGCGGATTTGCATGGGGTAAAAATGGAGGCAGAAATAAACTTCTGAAACTGAGCCTCAGTCCAGAAGTGATGGCTTCCCAGCTGCATGCATATGCTTTCAATATCTCTGCAGTAGAGAATAGGAGTCTGTGTATAAATGGCACACCGTGGATTTGGCATCTTCTGGAAGAATGTGTGGAGAATGCATGGGAGTACTGCAGCGTTGTCGTAGGACTGACTTCCATTGTCTGCTTTCTGTTTGCTGCACTACCGTAAGTTTCAAGTCTTTGGCAGCCCTTAGATTGAAACATGAGTAATCTTGCCTGAAGCCTTTTTCACAAGCTGCCTTTTTTTAAGTTTATCTTGGATATGTTTCTCTGCATAATACAGATATATTATGCCAGAGAAGCATGTTGTTCATGTTTAGAACAATATTTGGTGGTTGACAAATGAGCTTGATGTACTGTTCTGTTGTACTGGCTTGACACTAATCTCTGCCACTTAGAGAAAATGAGAATAAATCACCTCTTCTCCCTTATCTTCTCCACGCTGAGATGTGTGCACACAGCATGCTTGCTGCAGAGGCTGGCTCACTGTGTATGTAAACCACATGCCATGTCACCAGTGCTGTTGAGCTGGGTCCTGCCAGTGAAATTCAGACTAAGACCAAGTCAGGAACACGAGTTACTGCTTTGGTAGTGCAAAACCAATTGCTGTTGGGAGAACTGGCACTGGGTTTGTATTTCCAATGTGAAGGTAGGAGATGGCAAAAGGAAAGTAGGAATGCTGCTTGGAGGTGAAAGTGCCCAAAGCAAAATAGGATTGTCCTCATAACAGGAATATAGTTTACTGAACTAATGAAAGGCTGATGGAAATCAAAATCAGAACACGCTCAGTAAGCTGTAGAGCTTTTGAAATATGAGTTGAAAGGAGGCTTTACATTCAGAGTGTCACGTTAGCCACTATGTGATTCATCAAGACGTGTCTAATGGACTGAAATTTGGGATTGCTTCATAGTTCCCATTGTGAATTTGAAGAACAGTTCTTCAATTTCGAGGCTTAAGTGTTGTTGTCAGCTCTCACAGAAGCTTTGTTCGTTCTTAGCCCTTCTGTTAAAAGCGTTTCCTGTTTCAGGATTTCAAAGGCTGGTATTTCCAGCTGATGAGTGCGAAGCGATGAAGGCGTAGTTTTGGTGTCCAGACTGATATTTCACTGCAGAAGACACACACATAGCACACACAGAAGTTCACACAAGCAGTAATGAAGTTGTGATTTCAGCCTCTAGCATTGGAGTAAGAGACGGTCAGCACTGGTGACACTGAGTTCTCCTTCTGAGTGTCAGTGGATGTTGCTCTGATGGGTCTCTTGTAGTTCTGTTGTTATTCTTTCCTTACTCAGACTGTGAAAACTGTATGTTACAACTTGTCAGGCATTTTTGGCTAACAGTGTGTCCCAATTCTGGAATTTGTGCCAGTCAAATTCACGTTGCCTGTCGGGATGGAAAGGTGGACCAAGCGCTGTCTTTGGGCTTTCTGCTGTGTTGGATGGCTGGAGATGTCACAAATCTGATAGGCTGCTATTTAACAAATCAACTGCCAATTCAGGTAATCAGTCGATATTTCTACTTTCTGATATATCCTTTTCAGAATGTCTCTTTGAACTCTAGGATGCTGTGATAATACACAGTCCAGTAGGCACCACGGCAGAAAATAGTTTTACATTCTGCTCACTGATCTACTATCCATAAAAAAAAATGGTCAGAATTTCTCAGATGTTTACTTTGATACCATTACGTGTGGCAGGAACCATTCCATTTCTGCAGTCAGCGTTACGAGAGACTTACTGGGATAAAGTGGGGAACTCCCAGTTAAATTTTTCTTTCAAAGTAAGCTTGCAGAGCAAACAAGGCTGGATGGAAGTCGTGCTGTTCAGCTTCTGATAGATTAAGCTACCGTGCTGCAACTGCTCTTAAAATTTCCTTTTGTGTATTTGATTTTAGGAGAAGTGTTTAATAACAGAAACACCAGTTCAAAGAAGCTGTTAATCCCTTACAAATCCAAAATTACGGTATCTTCAGTGAAGGGAGGGCTTCTCTGGAGGAAGCAGTAGTTGTCAGTTATTTGTGTCTGAAGCTTTCTTATCTGCTGCTCTTATTTTCAGCTCTTCCATTTTCTTACTCTTTACGCTGCATCAATCTGCTGCTGTCCAACTTGTTCCTCTGAATGCTTTTCTTCCTTCTTTTGGCACTGGCTTTCTATTTGTTGTGCACGTTATTATTAAGAAGCACAACTTAGTTCTGATGGTATTTTGTGCTATGTGTACTGAACAAGCAAATGTGTCTTCTCTTTCAGACTATCACTGCCATCTCCTACGTTAACATGGATATCATTTTGATTTCACAATTTGCCTATTGCAAGCTCAAGAATTGGAAGATGATGAAAGGTGAGGCTTTTTAACAGTGAAAACATTTTCCTTAACGCAGGTTCTTCACCTTCCTGTTTTCTGCAGAGTTTAAATAAAGCCTATCTAAAAATGTGGTGTGCAGATTCCAGCTGGAGTTGTTAGGCCTATTTCTTCCAATTCTCTCAGCCTTTTGTGAAAATTCTTTTCTTCTGCCTTTCTCCCCTCCTCTTAACCACTCAATATCTGTCAATACTTTCTATGTAGTACAGCCAGTTTATATAGGCAGGAAATGAAGCCAGAACCTGGTTCCATATTATGATTTGCTCCATGGTTTTACTGTCTACTTACAGAGACCTAAATATACAGAGAAGTTGAAATTAAGTGTTATTTTTTGTGTGGTTCAGTTAGTTTCTTCCGTGCTGATTAAAACAGGACTTCATTTGCTTACATCATCAGATAACTTGACATCTTCATGTGCTCTGTTTCAATGCATACAATTTAAAGGCATTCAAGAGGAACGAAATTACTCAAGTTGCTCTGTAATCACTGGCAGTAGTTGTAATATTCAGTCTACCAAACAGACTATTGAAATAGAAGGCAGAAAGCACTGTGCACGTTGCATGCAATCAAAAACAGTAGACCATCAGTCTTTAAAAAGCAAAGGAAACCCGTGGTGTAGCGGGGGTAACAAAAAGCTGAAGGAAAGCACATGCCTGCGCAGCACACTAAGTAGGATAAATGCAATTCTTTCAATATGGTACTGATAATAAACCTGAGGATAGGGCAGTGCTGAAGATGCCTCCTTCCTACTGCCTGCTCTTGTAAGCAAACATGGGATTTTGTGCATTATAACTGCTCCTGCCTGCTTCAGCTCAACTCTTCATAGCTGGAGAGGGAAGTGATATTTGTGAATAAAGCAGTACAAGAGAGCTCTTAATACCCAGTTTTAGAGCTCTGACCATGGACTAGTTGGTCAGTTTTGTGAGTTGGTCACAATCCAAGCACAGGCTGTGAAACCACTGTAGTAATTCCTGTCCCTGTGATACAGGTTGCAGGTCTATGGGGCAGGCTTCTGATGCCATACAGCCGTTTGTTCCACTGGTGACAGTCACCATAGGAGCAGTGCCTGTTAAAGGAATGCTCCTGCAGTGGTTCAGTAGACACAGTGTGTGGTGAGCAGGGCTGGGGACAGAGCCCAAGGAGGTGGAATCTTTAGACTGAAGTGAGACGTTTACATGTTTGTATTGTGGATGAAAAATAACCTGAACAGCAGGTGTTATTTTCCAGCTCATTTGCTTGTCATTTTTATCATTCTAGGCAGCAGAAGGCTGAAGAATTTCTGTATAACCTGGATCTTGATGTGCATAACCCTGTGTGTTGTTTTACCCTGCCAGCTGTTGATCAGAAAGCAAGACCAGAGCTCAGCAATGGAAAGAAGTATTGTAAGTGCTTACCTGCTTCCATTCCAAGAAACAAAGCTGACAAATTCAGCGTCTTGAAAACACTGTGTGCTCTGAGTTTTCAAGAAATTGGGGTGATGTTTTTAACGATGCTTCAGAAGCCATAAATGTGGCACCGTGTGGATCTCTAAGTACGTACCCTACATTGCAAAATAAATAAGCTGCAAAATAGCTTTTTATAGCAGCTCCCTGTATTTCGGGTTCATTCTGTCCCTTGGGTTATTAGGATGTGCTGCTTTGTGAAACGACATGTCCACGTGTTGTCTTTCTGCCTGTGTTGGGTACTGCAGACATCCGTGGAGAGACTGTGTAGTGAAAAGTGCAATCAATAACAAGTGGGGAATTACAATTGTACCTGCTGCTGCTGCTGTCACTTTACCAGCAAAGTTCACAGGCTGTTCTAGCAATTTGATGGCCTTCGTGTTAATGCCGGTAAAAGAATTGTAATCCAGCAACATTGCCCAGCAGGGAAGCAGCTTATTTTCAAAATACAGCTAAAATGAGAAAACTAACAATTTAGTGGCCCTAGCTACGGGTTTTTAGTTTTGGCTTGAATTATTGTGCCCAGGCTTTTTTAGCAGAAGAACCGGATTGATACGAGTGTTATGTCCTGAAGCCTGGTGCCGATTTTGATCTCGGTCTCAGCCGTGACGCAGCACTGTGCATTGTTGTGAGATGAAGATGAAACACTTTCTCATCCTTTTTGGTCATTTGAAGAGCAGCCCTGAGCTGCTTTGAAAGTTCTGTCCAAAAAAACAGCCGGCGGGCTCTCAGTTTAAGTCTCTGAAATGCTTGAGAACATTCTTGCCAAAATATATGTCCCTTTATTTTTCAGAACTCTCTCGATATGATTGAAATGTCAGGCTTCGTTTGTGGCTATATATCTTGTGTGTTTTACTTGGGAAGTAGATTTCCTCAGCTGTATAAAAACGTAAGTCTGTTTTTGGCTGAGCATACTTGTATATTTTACCAAATGCCCTGCGTTGCTTGAGATTTGGCCTCAAAGTGTGAAAGCCTCCCTGGCTTTTGTGACAGTCTAAAACGTTAAAGAAGGGTTTTCTTTTCCCTTTCAAAAGAGGATGGTGAGAATTTTAGGAAAATGGTGGTCTTTAATCAGTAGAAGGGTATTGATTGGGCAGGAAAGAGGAAGGTTTACAGTTGGATTTAGGAGATACATAAGCAGAAATGTGCTTTGTGTGATTGTTCTCATGAGCAACTGATGCCTCCCTTATTTTTTTTCCCCAAATGATTCGACTTTAAGAAACCAACTGCAGGATCAAAAACTAAAATTACAGGAAAAGTAGTTTAAAGCTTTAGCCCTTCTTTTTTCCCTTCAAAGATATCATTACTGACTTTTTTTAACATGCCAATATTAAAAAAAAAAAAAAAAAAAAGAGAGGCTATAGAAGAAAAAATCCTGCAGGTTTTACATCATCAAATGTATATGCATCTTTTAGTTGGTTATAAGAAGGTTTGGTTCATTTCCAAGCTTATTCTCGTTCCCCTTTCCTTACCTTTTCCATTCCAGCTGGAATACAACAACCTTTTCAAAGGGCTCTACTGTGTGTACTGATAGAGAAACAGAACTAAATATCATTTGGAAGCAGATTATCCTTGCTGCTTTGCACCTACATAAAAACTACATTAAGCAGAGCTGCTTCTAAAAGCTGTAACAATTTCAGTTGCTTTCAGTGGTGTGTGCTGAAAATACTGAGCTGTGAGGGTTCAGGAAAAGATGGAGAGGAGTGACTGAAAAAAATCTTTCAGTGTGTGATAATAGAAAGTGCCAGAGTTACATAGAAATGTTTACTATGATGCATCTTAAAATATGTTTTCTGTATAAACCTCCTTGTCTTTAGTTTCAGAGAAAGTCAACAGAAGGCACCTCTTACCTGCTGTTTGCATTGGCCATGCTGGGAAACATCACGTATGGCCTCAGCCTTGTCCTAAAGATGCCTGCTGCTGGATCTGTCCGGGCCCTCTACTTTTTACACCATCTTCCATGGCTCCTCGGGAGCTTTGGAGTTTTGTTCCTGGATTTTTTTGTATCCTTTTCCTGTTAGAGCTCGAGTTTGTCAGGTTGGACTTGTCTGTGTTTACTGATGATATTAAGTTCATATGAAAGGTATACAGGAAAGCTGCATTGCAGAGGTTAAGTTCTGTCTTTCAGCATCTTTGCTCTTAGCTCTGTTAACTCCAGGTATGAAGTGGGATAGAATGAAGAGTAATTTCAAGACCATGCGGTGCTACAGGACGCTGTGTTAATCTGTTCCATGTTCAAAGGAGGTTCTTCACCAGATTGACTTGGAGCAGTTCAAGAAGTTAGGATTCCGAGGCGCTGAGGTTGTTTTTCCTGATTAAAGTAATTTCATAAGCCACTCCAATTAGCCTAATGATGGACAGCTGACCCTTTGGGTGGACTCTGAAGTCGTGCTGTCATTCAGAACAGCCATCTGTGCTTCTTGCATCTACAGCCACGATGGTTTAAGTGGGCAGTTCAAACAGTAAAAGCGTTTGCATTGTGGGAACACAATGCTTGTGTGACTAAATGGTGGTTAGCAGCCTGTTTTGAGATTTTTTTTTTTTTAGTTTTCTCTGTAGAGACAATACAGGCAATAGGGATTCAGGGCTGCTCGTTAGCCCAGGTGGCTGCTCTGAGTGCTCAGACCTTTTGTTCCATACATGAGGTAGTTACTTTTTCTCCCTCCCTACCCCAAGATGGAAGCACAAAACTGCCTGTGTTTATTTACAAAAAAAAAAAAAAAATAAAATAATAATAATAGAATTGGATCTGGGCAACCCTTACAGTACATTATGTGCATGTTTGGAGATGCTCTTCTGTGATGTACTCTGAAAAGAAACTTTTATGTGGGCCACAAACCTCCCCCATCTCTGAGCCCAGCCTGCAACTGCAGTGCCAGTGTGCACATGACATTCATTTCTCAGTTCTGTCTTGATTGGAGGCTGAATCCAATCTTGCTAATAGCCTTCCAGTTCAGATTGTATTGAAAGCAGATGCTTCCAAATCAGGTTGAGGAGCTTATAGAAATCTGGTCGTGTATGTAGTGTTAGTTCAAGATGTATGAAGTGTTTGTAATCAAGAGAAAACAAGAGCAGACCTCCAGCTTTGAGAACCCCCTGAGGTATGGAAGTAAATGCTTTTTAAAGAAGAGAGCTTCATTACTGTCTCTTGCCAAAGAAGAAAATCAAAATTCCAACAGAATGCTGTGTTGTGTTGGACCAGAAAAGAAAGACCAGGGATGCTTGGCTTTTGGGAAGCAGAGGGATTAAGTGAAAAGGTTGTAATTTCTACAAGAGAGGTGTTTCATAATTGACCATTTGTGTAGCAGTCTCTGTTTTGAGAAGTAGTTCCTGACACTGTCCAATTCTAGTGGGGTTTATTCTCACAATGTGCAGAGTTTCATTAGGTGGAGAGCAAGGCCTCATTTCTCAAGGTCCAGGGAAGGATTAAGGGTTCACTTACTCTGTGTCTGCTGCAGTGTTCTTTCTTCTGCTTCCATCTGACGTGGCCAGGGTTGACTATTTTTAGGAAGAAATGGACTCCTGATGGCAGCAGGAGCAGTGTTGGTTAGCACAGGATTACACTGGGTTGTGTCAGCTTGCTTAACAGGATAACGTGGTCATCCTTTTTCCTCGGTATCCCAACTTAGATTTGTTGAGTTGCACAATAAGCCAGTTATTTTCAGTGAATAATGCAAATGTCCAATTGTTTGTAAAGTATGAATTGCCCTCTTTTATTTTTATAATTTTAAAAGGAGTTTCGTAACATGAGGAATTTGAATTATAAATCGGACGTGATTTCCTGTTCCAGTGATTGTCTCCTTCCAACTGCTGCTTTGTATTGGAAGTTGATTGGAGTTTCTCAAGAGGCCACGAAGCTCAGGGTGTAAATGTGTGCTTATTAATGGGTGCCTTGTCTGTAAGAGACACTGGGTGCATGGGTGCCTGTCTTAGGGTCTGTGCTGGACCTTATCAGAGCTCTTTAGGTGCGTGAGTGCTTAATGGTCTGTTTGTATGTAAGGACTCAGTTCGACATATCCTAAAATCACAGAATGGCCTGGTTTGAAAAGGACCACAATGATCATCAAGTTCCAACCCCCTGCTATGTGCAGGGTCACCAACCACCAGACCAGGCTGCCCTTTGGCACTCAGTGCTGCCTGCTGCTGAAAGCAGCAGACTGAATGTAGTGCAAGTTTTTGGAAAACTTGGTCCTTTTCTGTAAGTATCTTCTTTCACCCTACATCCTTCTTCCTTTTACCAACAGAACCAAACAACTCCGCTTTGTACTTAGATTCAGGTGAAGCCCTTTACCACGTTTTTTGCGGTTGTTTGTTTGTTTGACAGCATCCTATTGTCAGAGAACCCTGTTCAAATCCTCCATACCTGCTTCTTTTCATTAAGTGTAGCCGGGTTGTTACTAAATAGCCCAAGTATATTCAGCCAGAGCCAGGCTGCTGTATACAAACTGTTATCTTGCACCTTTTGTGAATTGCAGGGCAGCCACTTGGAATCCATTATATGCTCCTACAAAACATCACACTTTGTAATTTAATTACACAGTGCATAGAATGTAAGTCTGACCTCAGCAAGACTTTCCCAGCCAAACGTACTTCTCTGCACCCGTGTGTTTTGTCTCAATGCTGTTAGGTTATTTGAGTTGTCATTCAGTTGTCTTTAGGTTTTGTGCAGCAGATTTGACACCGTAGCCCAGTGGCCATCGCCCCCATCACTCTGAGGAGTCCGTTTGGTTGTCTCCTCCACTTGGTGCTGTCTGCATGCTTAGCCCGTATGGTTTCCCCCCAGGAAGTCAAAGACTGGAGCAGTGACTGTTTTTCCATATTAAGCTGTCTTACAAATCCAGCATTTATTTTAAAAACTTGAGCAGATGAGTGCATATGCTAAAAAAGAAAAGCCTGATTCTGGAAATACTCTTTTGTGAATTCCACATGGTTGGTTTGTAACTTATCTTCCTTAAAAGCTCTGTTGCCAGCTTGGTGGCTAACAGTGATAGTGTTTCAGTCCAGACTTGTCCCAGACTACCATCTGTTTTCAGCAATTTGATCCCCTGTTCACCACATCCTTTCTTACCCGTGCAGCTATTAAGACTTGGGGAGATGCTGTGCTGTGAGTACAATAAGGCATACTTGCAAAAAGAAAGAAAGAAGAAAAGGAAAAGAAAGAAGCAGGAAGTGTAAGCAGCAGCTATATGTGTTATAAAGCTAATTTGCTAAGCTTAAGAAGATGATTCCCCAAATAATAACTTCAGAAAGACTTAAAAAGAGTGCTGATCTGCTGTCTATGAAGGAAATCCTGTCTAATCTTTAGCTGGGGGGCCAGAGAGGTGGGATGCAGGAAAGCTTTGGAAAAAGTAGGACGATTACTAGGGCTTTGCCTGTGATGTAGACAACTTCCCCTCTTTCCAGGCCTCTCTGAAGACAATTTCCCTTTAAAAAACAAAACAAAACACCAACACTTATGGAAAGACATAGCTGGGTAGCTTTGTGTTCTATCTTTATCTCACAAATGGTGTCTCTATTAGAAAACAAAGGGTTTTGTGTCAACGTTGGTGCTTAACTATCTGGCAAAAGGAGTGAGAACTGTCGTCCTTTCCAGGTGCACATACCCATTTATCTAAAGGTTGGGTTGCTGAAAGCCAGCAGTGTTGTTTCAGAGCTGGAGCTATCAAGAAAAAGACCAAGTACATGCTTGTTAATTCTTTGTAGATTAGTAGCGTTTCCAGTGGTCTGTTTTACAATAGAAATAAACACGTCTAATTGCACAATTCTGTGTTGAAAACAGCATTAAATATTGAGTCCTAGAGTTGTCAGGCTGTCAGTGCCTGTAAATCCCAAATGAGGTGGAACTTTGTGGGAAATGAGACTCATAGAATCATCATAGAATCAGAATGACCTGGGTTGCAAAGGACCACAGTGCTCATCCAGTTCCAACCCCCTGCTGTGTGCAGGTCGCCAACCAGCAGCCCAGGCTGCCCAGAGCCACATCCAGCCTGGCCTTGAATGCCTGCAGGGATGGGGCATCCACAGCCTCCTTGGGCACAATGAACATCTTGTTTTCTGATCAGGCCCTGCTGATCTGCTGCTAAGAAGGTCTTACCAGCTTCCCCTCCTTCCCATCATCCAGAAGTGGGGTTCCGTGCCCACCTTGCTGTAGGAGCACAGGGCAATGGAGGACATTGCTCCTCTTCCACTTCTAATTAGTCTCATACTCAGGACCCATGCAAGCAAGAGATACTAAAGAATGTCTTCACTTGTATTTGAGCCACAGAACCAAGGGGATCTGGAATTTTGATTTATTTTTTTTCCCCTGTATCTTCCTGTTTTTAGTATTGATAAAATGAACTTTTTGCCATACAGCACTGAAAATGAGAATTAAGAAAGATATGGAGAAGTTTATCTGCTAATGTAGAACCTTCCACAGTTAGGATTAGATAAATGAGTAATACTCCACACTATGTGAATAAGTTCTAAGCTTTCCTCTGCGGATTCTGGTACGCTGAGTCTGTGCCAGCACTAAATGGAGGGCTGCTCTTCTGCACAGCTTATTTCGTCTTTGATTGGAAGCAAGTGCTGCCTCTGTATCCTGGTTAATTACTTCCTTACCCCAAAATAACAGGTGACTGTGCAGTTCCTTCTGTATGGTCAGCACAAGGAGAGATCACATGCCTTGGTGGCACTGGAAGTGGAGCCACTGCTTGTGGGTGAGGAGGATGCATAGTGCTGTGCTCAGCCCTGCTCACGCCTGGGGACTTGGATGGGTCAGACTGCAGGAGCTTTGCAACCACACTTATTTTTGGTATTCATTTATTTGTCATTAATTTGTCACTGCTTGTTTAACGTTTTCATCTTCACATCATTTGCAAATATTTATTCTGTTGCTTCAGAACTGTATTAAGTCTTTGTTTTCCTGAATGCTTGCCTTTCTCACTGTTCCTCCCTGTGATGGGAATCACAGCAGTGGGTGCTTTGGGAGTATTTATTTGACACGATGATGCCATGCATATGACAAGGTGACAATTTTTAGATGAAAACCTACATCTTGATAGCAGTAATACGGCTGTTTTAAAACTAGCCCCGAGCCTTGAACTCAGCGTGGAGTTCTGTACTGCTCAGTGTGGTCACATTGCATGGAAGAAAATTGGCCTTTAATTAAGAACCATCAGTGCAGAGGATCCATTGCTGATGTAAAAGCAGAATTGTGGTGTGAGTTCTTGAGATCATAGAATCATAGCATGGCCTGGGTTGAAAAGGACCACAATGCTCATCCAGTTCCAGCCCTCTGCAGTGTGCAGGTCACCAACCAGCAGCCCAGGCTGCTCAGAGCCACATCCAGCCTGGCCTTGAATGCCTGCAGGGATGGGGCATCCACAGCCTCCTTGGGCAACCTGTTCCAGTGCCTCACCACCCTCTGCATGAAAAACTTCTTCCTAATATCCAACCTAAACCTCCCCTGTTTCTGTTTAAAGCCATTCCCCCTTGTTTTATCACTGTCCAACTGATAGTAGGGTCCCCATGTACACTGCAGAGCATCACTATGCATTTTGTTGTTTTAATTAAAACTTTATATACCAATGCCTTTGCCTTCTGTGGAACATAATTACTGCTTGTTGTCATACGCTGTAGATGATGGTTTTCTAGGACTTGCATTTCATTACAAGCTGCTGGGTAGGGTAAGTACTACACAGGGAAAAAACAATACCACAACATAGAGAGACTGTACCTTGTCATTGCTTATTGAGCACGAGGGATTTTGTCAGTGCTCTGTTGTGTTTAATGAAATCCTTAATAAGATCCAAGAGAATAAATTCAAGTTAATATTTCATTGAATGTGTATGTGATGATTCACGCTTCAGGAAATAAGTTTATGACCAAAAAGGCTGTTTCTTCAAAGTCAATATGAGTTGGCATGCTGTTAGGCTCATCATGAAACTCATTCCCTTTGAAGAACGAGACGGGGCCTGGCTGTGTTTGGAGGGGTGAGGTAACATCAGCCCTGCTGTGGGGTATGGAAATGCAAACTGATTTGTAACTTCTGTTCCAGGAATGATCATAGAACCATAGAATGGCCTGGGTTGAAAAGGACCACGATGCTCATCAGTTCCAACCCCCTGCTGTGTGCAGGTCACCAACCAGCAGCCCAGGCTGCCCAGAGCCACATCCAGCCTGGCCTTGAATGCCTGCAGGGATGGGGCATCCACAGCCTCCTTGGGCAACCTGTGCCAGTGCCTCACCACCCTCTGCATGAAAAACTTCCTCCTAATATCCAACCTAAACCTCCCCTGTCTCAGATTAAAACCATTCCCACTAGTCCTTCACTATCCATGATGCATGTGAGTAGCTGCAATCTGGGGCTTCAGAAGCAGCCTTGTGAATGCCATGTAGAGCTGCGACGCTTTGCTGCTCTGCACAGCGTGGCCTCACTGAGGCTGTGTGAGATCCAGCCCTGTGACACTGCTTACTTTATTGCTGTGTGTGCTGTGAGGGAATGTATTTTTGCTGCTTTCTTAAGCAAGCAGAGGGTATTAGAAGTTAACCTTTTCAGTACATAAATTAAAATGCAATTTGTCTCACTTGCAGATTTATATGCTGTGCGCATGAGATTATCAAACTCCTGCCTTGCTGCTGATTGAAACCATGACTTGTTACTTTCTAATGCAGTTAGAATTTGGTCTTAGATTATTTTTTCAAAGATTATTTCCCCTTCTGTTGCTCCATGTAATCCTATTTTGGGTTGCCTTTTTATCCCTATTTCATCCTGCTGTTCATTGAAACAGCCAAATACGGGATATACGAAGTTAATAAGATTTAAGAATTCTGATGGAAAACAATTTAACTTTCTAAATGCACAGCAGTAGTTGTTGATTTATGGCAGTTCGTATGTATAATATTTCACATACAGATTAAGTGAGTATCTGGGGGGAAAAAATTATTTCCTACCAACAAACTTGCTGTTGGGTGTTTTTGGGAGGGTGGGGGCAGTGCCATCCCTGCTGCTGGATGTGGGGATGTGAACTCAGTTCCGTGCAGCATAAGTTAGACGTGCAATAACCACTCGTGTCATCACCCAGCAGGTACATCCCACTGTCACTGCTGCTTCCTGTTGCCTCTGAAGATGTAAGGTTTCTTTGTCATCACTTTGCTCAGCCCTTTTTTCCAGATCCAGCCTCCCCATGTTGGAAGGGGAGGTGAGAGCTGTGCCAGCACAAAGCAGAGACCAAAAGGCAGCTCCTCACCACCTCTGTTAGGCAGGACAGTACTGCACTTCCACCACAGCTATTTGTTGAAAAGTAAAGTGTCTTAATCTTGCTTTATACTACTAATTCTTCCCCCCGTGCTGCATGTAATCCAGGATTAATGGCATTGTTGCCTAATATTATTTTTGTAGCTATCATGGAAATCTCATTAACTAAAAGAAACATCAAACGTGTCTTGAGGGTTTCATTTTTAAGCAGAGCCATCCAATAGCTTACCTAATAGAGTTCTGCAGTCTGCAGGAGGTTCTTCAAGTGCAGAGTTACTTGTGGCCATTACAGGATGGGTTTCACTTGTTTCAGTAAAAAGAAATGAACTTAATTTGCCCCTCTATCCTGTGAAGGAAGGGGTAAGTCTGCACTTTTTCTAAATTCACATTTGTATTCTGGCTGACAGATAAATGTATTATTAGTCTCAGGGAAATGAGTTTTGTTCTCCTAATGGAAAGCATATAGGTGCCATTGGCTGCTCTGTGGTCACGTTACTTCCCTACTAACTGGCCTTCAAGCTCTGTAGCACATTGAGGAAGCAACAAAAAATGGTCCCTCAGGGTTTCCAGTACAATGCCTCAGCAGCATCAATGTTTTCCCTGGTTTTTCAATGGCAGGAAGCTGGGAAGTTAGTGTTTTGTACATGGAAGATCCCAGTTCTGTGGTTAAGGAGTTTGGGGCTCCTGGTTCTGGTTGCCCACGGGCAGCACGGTGTATCCATGCTCTGCTGCTGTGCTTTTTAAAGAAACTTTAATGGTGGCAGGGGCAGCTAGTGGATATTAATTGCTGTAATACCTCAGTGTCCATCTGTGCCATTGCTTGCTAAATGGAGCTGGAAATACACGGTGTGCAGGCAGGGCATTGATTCATATCATGACAAGGGGGGCTGCCATACCGTGCTCCGAATGGATTTAAATGATAGCTGCAGAGGAATTAAGACCAGTTTAATCCGACTAAATAATGCTCCTAATGATGAACCATTAAAATCTAGTTGACTTTCAGATCCTAGCAATTGTATCAGACAAGGTGATTATACTAAACATCAGTAATGATAATCATTAGAATAGATTAAAGTATTGACTGAGCCATAGGAAGCGCTGCCTGGCGCCGGCACTGGGGCTCTTTGCTTTCACAGCAGCATCCTCCCATCCCAGCAGCATTATGCAATTTTGTTGGGTTTGCTGATGGACCTCAGGTCTGCTGCTCCTGCCTGGAGCCCCGGCAGCTTTTTGCCCAAAGCACATCTTCCAGGTCCAAAACACATCCAGATGCATCCACCATGGATGCCCAGTGGATTGGCTATAGCACCGGAGCCTGAGGTCAAAGCATTCCCCTTGTCCAGGGGAGATAAACAGACAAAAAGGGATAATGCAGGCTTGCTGGAGGAGAAATTGTGAGCCTTCCATCTGGTTTCTTTGGGGCAAATGGCCACAGCCATGCTGCACTGCTGCTGGGACCGGGCTGCCCTGCCCTGCAGTGCTGCTGCACTCTGAGCTCTGCTCCACATTGATTCCTGCCCTGGCTCACACTGCTGTACAAGCCTGTAAATATAGTGAGAAGATAGGCATTTTATGATGTCTGACTTTCCTACCATATTTTTTCGTTAAGTAAGCTGTAATGGAAATATTGGGCTTTCATTTCTTGCTTGCTTCTTTTCCAACAATTGTCAGTAAATCAAAGTTGCAAAAAGCCATCTCCTCCTCTGCAATGTCAGGCTAACGGCAGCCTAGTGGTCACTTACTTTTGGAAATGATATCGCCCTATTTCGAGGCACTCAGCAGACTTTAGTGCTGATGTATTGACCCTTGCAGCTTTCAGACGAAGGAAATATTCGAGGACAGCATTTCCAGCAGAGAAATGCCCATATTTCAAAATGAGGACTGCAAGTTGTAGTTAAGCCAATTGGCTGAGATACAAATGTGCCAAGCTTAGAAATAAAGCGAGTATTTCTTCCCCTGTTTTTCCATCATCTCTGTGTGCCTCTTCCCATGGTTTCCTGTAGCACCAACCCCACAGCTTCTCACCTCCTGACCCTTTTGCTGCCCACCCCGGGCAGTGGGGCTGGGTGTGCTTTACATTGCACAGGAGATACGGAGTGACAAAGGCTGGTGAAGACCTCTCAGATCCCCAAGTCCCACTCTAACGCATCCCACACTGCCCTTGTGATCCATGCTGCTGATTTAATTAATTTCTTTTTTCTTTTACCATTCCTGCTGGCCCCAGGCAAACGTATTGAGTCGGTGGTGTCTGAGCACACCTACGAGCATCCATTTGGAGACGAGTGCTGGGATGCAGCTCCCCCCTCAGCACGCTCCTTGGGCTGTGAGCATGCAAACACTCAAGCAAGGAACATTTCAGAACTTTTTCTGCAGTTCCCTGCCGACTTTTTGCAGCAGGACGGCTCCGGAGTGCTGCGGCCCCGTGGCCGGGAGATGCCGTGCCCGCATCCAGCTCAGCATCGCGCAGCACCGCGGGGCAGCAGGGGGCTGCGGTGCTCCCGGGGGGCTGCTGCCGGCAGCGGGTTGTCTCGGGATGCCGCCGAGCCCCGCTCCCAGCCCTCGGACCCGCCCGCCAGGTGGGGCCGTTGCCGTTCCGGCGATGCTCGGGGGTGGACGCGGTGTGCGTAGCCCGGAGGTGCGGGTCGGACACGCGGGGATGTCGGGTTGGAACCGGGCCCGGGGCAACGGGGTGCTGCGATGCGCTGAAAGGGAAGCTATTCCGTAGCCGACCTCAGGGCTCCTTCAGTCCGTGCTGCAGCTGAAACAAACAGCTGAAACAAACAGCAGTTCCTCATCCACCCCTCTTCCCTGCTTGGCCCTCGGTGTGCCGCGGCCGGGTGCCCTCTTCCCCACCAAGGTCCTTTGGTGGCTGTGCTCGGGACAACGGAGCTCGGGGCTTCAGGACCGCCTCTGCGCCTGCGAATGGTAACGTTGTGATTGATCACTGCATGAGACATAAGTCATTTTTGCATTGAAAGTAATATTATGCTCTCCAATCAGGTCACATTCGTTATGCACCCTGCGCAGGTGCAGATGCCTCGTGTG